GGGCATGCTGGTCGACGCAATATGACAAAATACAGCAGATTATTAGGGCATGCTGGTCGACGCAACATGAAAAAATACAGCAGATTGTTGGGGCATGTTGGTCCGCACAATATCACAAAATACAGCAGATTATTAGGGCATGCTGGTCGGTGCAATGTGAGAAAATACAGCAGATTGTTAGGGCATGAGATTCGTCGCAATATGACAAAATACAGCAGATTATTAGGGCATGCTGGTCGACGCAATATGACAAAATACAGCAGATTGTTGGGGCATGCTGATCGTCGCAATATGACAAAATACAGCAGATTGTTAGGGCATGCTGGTCGTCGCAATATGACAAAACACAGCATATAGTTGGGGCATGCTGATCGTCGCAATATCACAAAATACAGCAGATTGTTAGTGCATGATGGTCGGCGCAATATGACAAAATACAGCAGATTGTTAGGGCATGCTGGTCGACGCAATATGACAAAATACAGCAGATAGTTGGGGCATGCTGGTCGTCGCCATATGACAAAATACAGCAGATTGTTAGGGCATGCTGGTCGACGCAATATGACAAAATACAGCATATAGTTGGGGCATGCTGGTCGGCGCAATATGACAAAGTACAGCATATTGTTAGGGCATGCTGGTCGGTGCAATGTGACAAAATACAGCAGATTGTTAGGGCATGCTGGTCGACGCAATATCACAAAATACAGCAGATTGTTGGGGCATGCTGGTCGGCGCCATATGACAAAATACAGCAGATTATTAGGGCATGCTGGTCGGCGCAATATGGCAAAACACAGCAGATAGTTGGGGCATGCTGATCGTCGCCATATGACAAAATACAGCAGATTGTTAGGGCATGCTGTTCGGTGCAATGTGACAAAATACGGCAGATTGTTAGGGCATGCTGATCGTCGCAATATGACATAATACAGCAGATTGTTGGGGCATGATGGTCGGCGCCATATGACAAAATACAGCAGATTATTAGGGCACGCTGGTCGACGCAATATGACAAAATACAGCAGATAGTTGGGGCATGCTGGTCGGCGCAATATGGCAAAACACAGCAGATAGTTGGGGCATGCTGATCGTCGCCATATGACAAAATACAGCAGATTGTTAGGGCATGATTGTCGGCGCAATATGACAAAATACAGCAGATTATTAGGGCATGCTGGTCGACGCAGTATGACAAAATACAGCAGATAGTTGGAGCATGCTGGTCGGCGCAATATGGCAAAATACAGCAGATTGTTAGGGCATGCTGTTCGGTGCAATGAGACAAAATACAGCAGATTTTTGGGGCATGAGGGTCGACGCAATATCACAAAATACAGCAGATTGTTAGGGCATGCTGGTCGACGCAATATCACAAAATACAGCAGATTGTTAGGGAATGCTGGTCGACGCAATATCACAAAATACAGCAGATTGTTAGGCCATTCTGGTCGGCGCCATATGACACAATACAGCAGATTGATGGGGCATGCTGGTCGGCGCCATATGACACAATACAGCAGATTGATGGGGCATGCTGGTCGGCGCCATATGACACAATACAGCAGATTGATGGGGCATGCTGGTCGGCGCCATATGACACAATACAGCAGATTGTTAGGGCATGCTGGTCGGCGCCATATGACACAATACAGCAGATTGATGGGGCATGCTGGTCGGCGCCATATGACAAAATACAGCAGATTGTTAGGGCATGCTGGTCGTCGCAATATGACAAAATACAGCAGATTGTTAGGGCATGTTGGTCGGCGCAATATGACAAAATACAGCAGATTGTTAGGGCAAGCTGTTCGGTGCAATGTGACAAAATACAGCAGATTGTTAGGGCATGCTGGTCGTCGCCATATGACAAAATACAGCATATTGTTAGGGCATGCTGGTCGTCGCCATATGACAAAATACAGCAGATTGTTAGGGCAAGCTGGTCGTCGCCATATGACAAAATACAGCAGATTGTTAGGGCATGCTGGTCGTCGCCATATGACAAAATACAGCATATTGTTAGGGCATGCTGGTCGTCGCCATATGACAAAATACAGCATATTGTTAGGGCATGCTGGTCGTCGCAATATGACAAAATACAGCAGATTGTTAGGGCATGCTGGTCGTCGCAATATGACAAAATACAGCAGATTGTTAGGGCATACTGGTCGTCGCAATATGACAAAATACAGCAGATTGTTAGGGCATGCTGGTCGGCAATATGATAACCTGTCGCAGGTTTTTTTAAGGAGATTTTAAGATCAAAGGGAACTGCGTAGTAAGTGTAACGTTAGGCAATTCAAGAAACGCATTAAGTCATATATTAATAACACCGAGAGTGCCTCTAATTGATCTTTTGAAGGGCATTTTGATAATTCATCAAATCCAGAAGATATTCTCTCTTTGAATGAGGGGCGGTCGGGTAGCCTAGTGGTTAAAGCGTTCAGTCATGAACGAGATCAATGCTACAGGAGGTGAGGTGACGTGAGGTGAAATGGGGTTTGACGTCGCGTCCAAGATTATTGCACTTATATAGCCACGTGCATTCACACACACGTGTGTGTGTGGGGGGGGGGGGGGGGGGGGCTGTTTGTACTAGTCAGGACTAATGTCGATTTAATAGTGCTAGCCCACTGAAATACAATGTCACAGTTTAACATGAATACCTCACTCTGACTTTGGTATGACGCGGCCGGGGATATTGATCGAACCCGGACCTTCCGCTATCCGGGCGGACGCTCTACCACTAGACCACGGAGCGGTCCGATGCTGCGGGAGGTATTGAAGAATAAATACTGCACTAAAGTAAGGATATCATACCTGTTCTGGTTAAGAAACTTAGCCTCATAATTTAAACTGGATATGTTCCACCCGAACGGACAAAGAGAATAATTATATCAGTTCATTAAAAGATGGGACGTTTGTAGCTGACAACTAACCTTTAGCCTGCTGAATTGTTTTCACACTTCTTATCCCTGCCTGCTGGTTTAATTTTAGCATAAGGCGCTCTAAAGAGGGTGGGTGATTTCAAACAGTCGGTGCCTCATTAAACAAGGGCCAATTGAAGAAATATTTTGCACATTTATTCCTGATGGAAAACTACATTGTACTATATAAAAATATCACGATGTTTTCAATCATACCAAGGTTAAGACCAAAGCGACGCAAAATGTGTACATTTTCATGAACTTACCTGAATTGCGTTATTGAAGGTGGTTTGCGTTTCATGCTAGGAACCTTTTTATATCGTAACATTTGTGCAAATTGATTTCAATAATCATATCTCAGATATCTTAATTTTAATTGAGTAAAAATCCGGGGGGGGGTTTCATCGGCAAATAACAGCGCGATGGTAAATTATGAACCATGCATTTCAGTAATGTATTATCTAAACGTAAAACAGAAAAATAACTTAATATTCGAGGTCATCATGTCAGTTGCAGAAATACGAACATTCGGGTTAATCTGATGTGTCATGTTATACAATTTGCAGGAAACAATTAGTGACTTATAAATATTCACTAATCCTAATTTTAAGCGTTTTGGTTGAATTTTTACGATATACAAAAATAAAAAACCCGTGTCGTGATGCTAGCAGACGTCCTAAAATCAAACATGGCGCGCTTCGCCCGACCTCCGAATAAGTTTTTGCTATTTCAATATCAACAATGTTTGCATTGCCTTTATAAATAAGCCTTGGCGAAAGGTGGCGATCTTTTAAATCGAAGAATTCGTTCTATGCCGAGACGATGTCGTGCAGTCCTGAACGCCAGTGGTGGTCATACGAGGTACTCACTTCAGCGCCATCAAACGTCGATGTGTGATTCATAAACTGACTTCTTCCGATGTCCCATTCAACAGTGATACCTTGATATTTCCTGTGTAAAATTTCTGCGAATTCCATTTGTTACTAACTTGTTCACAGTGTATCAAAATAAAAATAAATCTGTAGTTAAAGTTATTATATGCGTTTCTTTTTTGAGAGAGTATATAAGCAATGAAATGCTTCATACATATTGTCGGTGTTGGTTTCACATTACATTTTGGATAGTTTTCCTTTCAGAATACATTCATAGATTCTAGCATGATTTTAGAACAATTTCACGAAGCATTTCTAAATTTATTCCAAAAATATAAAGAGCGCCATGATTGCGTATTGGTGATAGATTTGTAATTAGTTATTTATTTACAGCTGTTTAGAGGTTTTAAGATTTTAAGTTATACTTATATATTAAGTAGTTATTTTTTCCCACAATGATTGTGTGTATGGACACTAAATATTGGTCAATGCATCAGCACAGTGTTACTGATGAAACTTCAGTTATTATCTTTAGTTTAAAGATATTTTATTCTACAAATATTATCTTTCACCCTGAATATCAATTATGTATATAAGTAACTATCTGATGTCATCATTTAATTTTGGTACTCCATGAGTAATGGATACATTGATCAGATCCTTAACATATACATATTAAACTCATATGGACATTAATCTTGTGCATTAAGTGGTTTGTTTCCAAATTCTAAAATATATTTGTAATAGGCATATGATACAATAATTCCTTGTAACAATTCATGAAATTTGTGATTGTTTAAACACAAGACCCACGGTGGCACATAGGCTCGTGGTTAAAGCGTACGCTAGTCACGCCGAATATCCGGGTTCGATTCCCCACATGGGTGTAATATATGAAGCCCATTCGTGGTGTCCCCCGCCATGATATTGCTGGAATATTGCTACAAGCGGCGTTAACCAGCACTCACTCACTCACTCACTCACCCACTCAAGAACCGGTAACAGCTCAGCATGTTTCAGTCGAGCGTCATCATAGACGAATTGTTGTTGTTGTCCATGTAAGTGGACATTAACTAATCATAGATGATTGACCTACACAGGAAAAGCAAAAGTGATATTTCGCCACGAATAAACTGAGCACATTCAGATCCATGAGTTGAAGCAGGTGCGGGTATCCTTAAAGAAGATGAGATCAGTATTCGTCATGTATGTGTTTATTTGTCAAGATGAGTTAGTTTGACTCAAGCAAAGTCTCGAGCATCTTCAGCAGCGAGGGCTGCATGTCGGTCAAAGTCTGACCTGAAAACATAAACCATTCAAGAAGAGCGAAATCAACGAGAACAACATGGTTGTAAAGATTACGGATATCACGCACCATGCAAAAAACCCGACTGCTATGTTGTTATATAACATCCATGCCATCAATGAATTCTGTATAACGAATTAACAAATACAGCAAACTGCTTCTTCGCCAAAGGAGATATAAAGCCCGTTACGTTCTCGGCGAACTGATACTCTGTAAGTATCAGTCATAATTAGCAGTGAATCGTATAACATACACGTAACAACCCCAAGGCATCTACTGTATACCTTAAGATTAATAAACCTCAACTACCATCACTTAAAGTTTTGCACTGTTTTTTTCATGGATTATCCTTGCTAATTGTTGGTGGAAAACGTCAGATGCGCCATGAGTCAAACATCTCTGGTGATATGTCAGTAGGAACATATGAATTAGTTGGTTTGTATATATCACACATCAGGACGAGTTTCCGGCTTTTCCTCGTGGCATCACCAGAAGACCTGACGGAGATATGCGCACCATGAATAAATCATAATTATAATCATTTTTGACTGTCCGTGCACCTACCCATGATGTCACCAGTAGCAGCAGAGAGAGCCTTCAGTGCATCCTGTCCGTGTGTGAGAAGCTCGGTGGCGCTGTCCTTCAGGGCTTGGATATGTCCTCCAAGCTGTGCGCTCAGTTGGTCAAGGGTAGGCTTGACAGATGCATACAGCGCAGAGGCAGCGGCAGAAAGGTTCGCGCCCAGGTTGGCGACGTGCTGTATAATACAGTTGTGTGATTTGAATATATAAAACATATTTCATGGACATTTTCACATTGAAACGCTATCAAAGATTCATTTTGAAAAGTGAATTAATTTTATCCAATTAAACTTACATTCATATTGACGTACATATTTCTGGTGTTGAGAGATACTATGTGGCAATATCTGTATAATATAACACGAATACATAAATTGCTTGAACTCAAAGGGATTCACGATGCATTTGTGTCCTTACGTCCTTGACAGCCTTAACAACTGGCAGGAATAGGGAGGCGAACTTCTGTCCAATTGAAGCCAGGGTGTCGGTGAGGGCAGATCTCTTGTGACCAAGTTGACTGATGAGACCCTCAGCAGCCTTGATGAGGAACTGTCCCGGGTTCTTGGTGAGGGTCTCCACGAGGGAGTCCTGGAAGATGTTGTGGAGACCTGTACAAAATCATGAACAAATTATACTTAAAACGGGTAACTGATGATACGGTAACGATACATAAGTATGGTTGGAATCTGAAGCTAACAATTAAGGGTCGTCAAATCAATATGGGGATACTGGATATTTCCGAATATTTCCGAGACCCTTGTTAATATCGTAAAACAACACTGTATCCGTTGCAATAAGGAGTGTCAGCTTTGTACCACAATATGCACAGTGCAGTGTCTCCTTGAAGTACTTGGGTTAAAAAGTAGACATGCACCAATGTTTTCCACAAAGACTAGGGGTACGAGGGAGAACCACACACTGATATCTCTCTGAAAGATGCGGGTTTACAAGGCAAGCACTCACCAACGACATCGCCAATGTCTGACAGGATGGTGGACAGGTGCTCCTTGAGGAAGTCCATGCTGGTGATCTTCTGTGCGATGTTAGCAAGGGCTGTCATGGCGGAGTGATACAGGGAGCCGAGGGTCTCTGACAGCTGACCAATCACCTGCTTGCCTTCCTGGAGGAACTTGCTGACACCACTGACGACACTGTTGATGATGGGCATATTCCACAACAAAATGTTAGGGAGTGTTTTCGGTTATACCTTATAATCAAACTATTATTGTTAATAACATGTACGTTTCTCGTTATACAAGGGGTAAACGCACACCATGCTTACACGTGACACGTTTATATCAGACAGATGCACTGAGGTGAGACTTCAGTTATTGATGCATGGGATTATTGAAGCTCTGTCATATAGGTACCTGACGTCCCTTGTGCCAACTTTAGAGAGAGACCCCAAGAGACCTAAAGATGAGAATACAGCAATTAGGATATATATACAAATATACAAATACGGTTGAAATAAAAGATTGCAAAACGTTAGGACTGACCGGAGCTGTTCTACTGTTCTACAGCATCAAGGATTTGCTGTGGGACGAGGACCATCCTACATGGCCAAGGTCAGTTTACACGACAAAGGCCATTTAACAGGCCAAAGGTCATTCTGCAGGACAGGGATAATTTTTCAGTTCCCCGGCAAACTACAGGATTAGGGTCATTCTACAAAACGCTATCGTTGTTTCGATTTTCATTGAGAATTAGAATACACTTTTCAATCAAAACAGAGCAAAAGCACAGGTTCACACCTTCAAATTCGATATGGTTAATTAATGGTATCCATCTTGTATCATTCACTAGCAATTTGGAAACACTTCTAACAATTTAGCAATCCAATTTACAATTTTATTGAAAAGATATTGTCTCAGAAAATGTGTGAAAAAATTATTATGCTTCATATTGATGGAAAGAACCCGAAATTGTCTGCCACAATAATTACATTGTTGCAATATGTTCTGAAGAAATACATATTTTGGCTCATAGGTTTAATTAAAAGAATATTTATTTTAGCAGCTGTAGCTAAAAATATATCTTGTCTCGATCAATACCAAATCCAATGACATTGTTGCAAGGTGTTTCTCTTGGTTCATAGTTTTAATTTTGTTAAAAACATATCCAGTTTTGCAGCAATAACTGATAACATATCTAATCTCCAGACAAAAGCCAAGCCTCCCCCGACCCCACCCACTCTTCCCATCCTGAATATGAATATCCTTAAATGATAAGTATCTTCTGTGTTATGCGCCATAAGGATCTATTCTTAAAGATATGTACATCTATATATCTGGTGTCCACTTTGCCAAGATGGGTCCCAAGTGTCCAGTTATTATCGTGATGTTGGCCAATGATGATCGGGTAAATAATGACATCGTTGTCTAAAGGGCATGGTTCATTACTCATGCTGTCAGCTACCCGCGACATGGTAAAAAAAGCTTAAATGACACAGAAAGGCTTACTCTGAGCTCCAGTGGCCAACAGTTGTGTTCCCGCAGTCTTCAGACTGTCCACGAGTGTGCCTGCAACGGTCTGCAGTGGGTCCTTCAAATCTTGGAAGAGGTTGGTAAAGACGTCACCGATGCTGGATGCAACACCCTTGAGGGTGTCAACAAAGCCGGCAGCATTGGCCCCAGACAACAGGCAGGCAACAGCGACGAAGACGAGGACCTTCATGATGAATCTGGCTTAAAATAAGTATTTCAGTAGAGGTTTTTTTTATTTTTAAGGAAATGTCTTGTATTTCCTGTAAGGAAGATTCACAAACATACATGCTCCTGATGTACACATAATCCAAAATGTCAAGAAATGAACTAGTTTGCACAACGAGCTTTAGAAATCAGCAATAGACATGCAAACATACTCCAAACAAACTAACTTGTGAGGGACATTACAAATCATGCCACGAAACGTGACTTGAGGCACCTCTGTGAACCATTAATCCTCATCCAACAGCTTCTTGAGTACCAGGTATATCCAACACAACGATCGATCCTTATCAGAGCAAACCTTACCTGAGATCAGACTGATGAGCAGTGGACGAAAATGCAATTAACGTCATATATATGGCAAGCACATTATGTTAGTTCCCATGTCGTCATAACACACTGCACATTCAGTACAGGTTTTTTTGCAACCTGGAAAACACTCCCTGTTTCTCTTATCAGTGGTGATTGACACAAGCATGTTGCGCACGTCCAATAGAGGCTGCAAAGCTTTCAGGTCATCTTCTCCTGGAGATTGTTTGTGGAAAGTGTGACGAGCCAATGCTTTAACCACAGAATACCCATCATCCATCCTTGAATTTAAAGAATTTATGGATTAATGTCATCTTTGTTGGAAGTCGAGAATTTTCTTAGCTGACCTGAACAAAACAAAATATAGAGGAGAACCAAACACTGAGAATGCGACATGGGGGGATTCGCGTTAGAATGCTGAACATTGAGTCGTTCCGTCTGGGTAGACCACACAGCCAAGAAGAACTGTTGTTCTCTGTGCCTGTCTTAGTCTTAGCTTTATAAGAGCTGCTTGTTTTCACTGATATCGCATCAACGCAATGTTTGACACAAGCTGAACTGGACGAAGGTCACAGGCTGGTAAAACATAGCGATACCTAGACAAGGTATAAACTCGCTACCTGTGCACATTATGGTTATATATTGGAGGCTAGACCATCTATCCATACCCAAGCATTCATTACTTTTATTTTGGGAATAATGTTTGACAACTGACCAAGTCAATATATTATGTCCACTGTGTGTAGTTGCTGCATGATAGTAGAATAAGCAGGTAAAGTGGCACACACGCAGCTGGCAATATCTCAGCATGTATTTCTGATAAAATTTAAAGTGTCAAGTATGCTCTATTAAAACAGCCTCAGTTTAAACATTAGTTTTAGTCTTTGGTTAGCAAGGTTTGTTTGTTATGTGATCGGGAGGAATATAATTTGTTCTGAGGAGCTTACACTTCTACATGCATGTATGGTTTCTTATGCATGAAGATGTCTGTGTGTCAGTGGCGTGAGTAATGATAAACACAATACCAGAAAGATACATGCTATCATTCCATGGTGTTCCTATTTGGTTCCCGTAGCCAAGGCAGAAGGAATACAATGTTGACTGGAGGTGGGTATATTTTGCCGAAGGAATGCCTATTTTTGCCCAAAAAAAATTGATTCAAGCGGGAATCAGTACCGAAGGCTAATGACTGTATTTGTCTGCTGGCACAACATGGAAGAAAATTATGCAGAATTTGCAATAAAATAGTTACAAACATTTGCAAACAGCAAGACTACGAGTTAGTCGGTATTTGAATGGTGACATCACGTTCCACCCAGTGGCTTGTTATTTACATTGAAACTACGTGAGAGTTGGAAGCCTCTCTTTAAACGAGTGAGTGAGTGAGTATGGGTTTACGCCGCTTTTAGCAATATGGATTTGTAGTCGATTGTTTAAATTGTCAACTAGGATAGACACGTAAAAAGCACGTGCCTTAGAGAGAATAAAGAGCCTGGACAAACCAATGTGAACATTAAATAAAATCACACAGAAACGGAACATATATGATGATCCCCATTACTAACTGCTAATGGACTAAATTGCATAACATGTTGAACACAAGTGACTCAGTAATGATAATAATTAGCTTTATCGAGGTGGCCAAATTGAAATCTGATTAGACCATCTTGAATACAGTCATGTGTCCCTATTGATGGAAATGACCATGTGGATTTTCAGCTTTATTGGTCTGGTGGTTTCTGGATTTGATGCTTATGGTTCGAGGAATGCATATGGAGAGAATTTAGGATCGTGATTAAAGCGCAAATGTCTAATCAGGGTCAAAATGTACAATATCGTGAACGACAGCACAAATGTGTGGATCCTCACTACTTACTACACATAAGACCCGTGAAGATCCGGGGTAGAATAGGTCTTCACCAACCCAGGCTTGCCGTAAAAGGTGACTATGCTTGTCGTAAAAGGCGACTAACGGGATCGGGTGGTCAGGCTCGCTGACTTGGTTGATGCATGTCATCGGTCCCAGTTGCGTGGGTCGATGCTCATGATGTCAATCACTGGATTGTCTGGTCCAGACTCGACTATTTACAAACTGCCGTTATATAATTGGAATATTGCTGAAAGCGGCGTAAAACAACAAACAAACAAACAAATACTACACATAAACCAAATTTCACTACATTTTGAACAGAAATCGGTTTTCAAAACGTTGATTGAAACGGGTAACCACGTAAAGGCCGGATGCGTTCGCCCTTCCATGAAACTGTTACCGTTGATAATGATTAATAAACAAATGATTAATATGATGTCGGAATCGTATAAAAGACTTTCATCTAAGCAGATTATGGATTATGGAAAGGCTTTTGTTGTTTTAGATCACCTGCAACGTTGTTGTCTACTCGTTGAAATGGTTAGTTAAAAATAGTATAAATTGGAACGCAAACAGTGAGTTACATCACAGGTTTTGCTCTCAGCTTAATATCTTGTATAGTCTGAAGGTTGATACAAGTATCATAGTTACAAGGATATTAAACAGATGCACGCTGTTATGTAAATATATGCATTTCACTTAGTTGGGATCCAACGACCGTATGTACTCCTCAGACCTGTCGAAGTTATCAATGCCCAAGTTCAGACTCAGAGGTTAGTGCCACTGTGCTCCATGAACACCGACAAATACCCTTTGACAAATACCCTTTGACAAGTGCCCTTTGACAACTACCCTTTGACAAGTTCCCTTTGACAAGTGCCCTTTGACAAGTGCCCTTTGACAACTACCCTTTGACAAGTGCCCTTTGACAACTACCATTTGACAAGTTCCCTTTGACAAGTGCCCTTTGACAAGTGCCCTTTGACAAATACCCTTTGACAAGTGCCCTTTGACGTTGATGGTATTGGTGCCATCATGGCCTGGCAAATGAAAGTATACACTTTTGAAAACTGAACTGACCAACAAACTACAGTTACCAGACTTAAAACAGTCATCGAAAAACTGCAAACGTGTGGTTCAAAACACAACTATGATACCCTTCTCAGATACATCTCCATCAAATAACCGTTTCTTGTTTGTTTCATGTTTAGTCACCATCAAAACAGGTGTTTTCTTTCCTTTGCCCAGCACTATATGTTTATATTCGAATAAATGCAATTTCAGTATTTACTGATTGAAATTGACAATAAAACACGGATTTTGTTCTTTGTTGTTTAATTTGGTTTGAATTGTACAGGGGAACTATTTAGTTGGAGTTGAGGGTGTGGGCAACAGTCTGGACGGCATCCTTGCCGGTGTCGAGGATCTTCTGCAGGGAGGGCTTCATGTTGGTCAAGGTTTGTCCTACATGGAGACAAGTACACAAGTTATGCCATAGCCACACTGTAAAGACTTGCATATTTACTCTTGACTACAGGCCATGGACTTGAAATAGTTTGTACAACAGTACATTGGATTATGAATCACAACATTGTATCTGTTCAAATTTCAACATCAGGACGAATACGTTATAACTGCTATAAAAGCACTTGTCATTGCGAAAAAGGAAAAACTTGCACTGAAATACTATGACAAATAGGTAAGCCTACCCATGATGTCGCCAGCAGCAGCGGAGAGAGCCTTCAGGGCATTCTGTCCGTGTCCGAGCAGCTCGGCGGCGCTGTCCTTCAGGGCCTGGACATGTCCGGAGAGTTGTGTGCTCAGTTGGTCAAGGGTAGGCTTGACAGCTCCGAACAAAGCAGTGGCGGTGGAGGACAGGGTAGAGCCGAGGGTGGCGACGTGCTGGGAAATTTAAATTTAAAGTGCAATATTATGTTCCTGATTGAGACATTGACAGTGTGAGAAATGGTGTATTCATCGTTTGTTGCCATCATGTACGGTATGTATTTTATCATATGACCATTATATATGAAATATTGTGGTATAACTGTCATACTTCATCTGCGCAATGCTTGCTTACCTAGAAACAATCCTTGAATCTATGGTACATTCTGTGAAACAATGCATTTCCTACCTCTTTGACGGCATCAACAACTGGCTTGAAGAGGGAGGCGAACTGCTGTCCGACAGAGGACAGGGTGTCGGTGAGGGCGGATCTCTTGTGGCTAACTTTGCTGATGAGACCTTCGGCAGCCTTGATAAGGAACTGTCCTGGGTTCTTGATCAGGGTCTCCACAAGGGAGTTCTGGAAGAGGCTGTGGAGGTCTACAATGACAATAATTAATATTGTGTCAACGTGCCACATTGTACTGATAAGTTTCTAAATTAAAATGACGATTGTGTATCATTTTTTAAGCCAATCTTATAATGTATGATAGATTATTATACCGCACATGAAGACACATGGGTTAATTAACTTCATCAGATTAAATGGAACCTATGACCAAAGTACTGATCTGGTATATATGTATATATCTAGTATACTCGACGTAGGGCCAAGTATTTCGCATTTCATTAGGACGTTACAGTTTAGAGTTCCGCGTACGCACCAACAACGCTCTTGATCTCAGAGAGGATCTTGTCGAGGGGCTCCTTGAGGAAGTCCATGCTGGAGATTCTCTGTGCGATGTCGGTGAGGGAGGTCATGGCGGAGTGGTACAGGGAGCCGAGGGTCTCGGACAGCTTGGCGACCACAGACTTTCCCTCCTGGACGAACTTGGTGACTCCACTCAGGAGACTGCAGATTGATACATAGTGTTCCAGCTATATTACCACAGTTTCTAACTAATCAGATCTAGATCAGTCAATCTAGTGATTGAAGCCACAAACACCTATCAACGCAATACGGACAGAATGACAGGAAATGAACCAAGTCACCTGGCCTAACCATCCGATCCATTTGTTCGCCTATTACGACAAGCATAGGTTGCTGGGGACATATATTCTTATCCCGACGTAGCTGGATGATAGGGATGATGTTGGATATATGTAATAATGACAATGATATATATATATAGATATGTCTATGCATGGATCGCACTACATGGCTGAAAAAGGGCAGATTGAAGATTAACCCATAGATAGGCAACATGTGCAACCAGGCAGGCCAAACCACAAGCCTCAAACCCGACTATGATTGCCTGTCAGAACCATGGCTATGAGTTGAACAAAGGACATGTCCCGACATAATCTGGCACACACAGATTGAAAATGCTGCCCAACGAAGCGTCACACTCAACTCACGTTCCATCTAACTAATAAATGTTGATATGAAGTGAAGTGTAACCTACTCGGTATCTCTGGTGGCGGGGGCACCAACGTGAGACAGGGATCCCAGGAGACCTGAAATCATTGAAGTCATACAGTGGGGTGCCACACAAACGTAAGGGAGATGGCATAGCTTAGGAGATTCCGGAGTGTACATCGAAACAGAAAACATCATTTACGTCAAGGCTGCCTTATAACATGCTCCTTATGTGACCAACCATGAGGTGAGGGACCTTATGGGTGAAAAATAACATTTTGACTTCTTATTATATTTTTAAAATACAGCATCTTAGGAACAGAGGAACACAATGCAGAGGCTTCAATTCTTATCTATTAAAGAGACACTTGGCATCAAACACTTGGACTAAGTTTCTGCAAAATCCCTCAGACTTGCAATAATAACCTGTAATAATCTAGATGTAGTGACTGTTTAATCGAAAGTAGACATGTATGCTAAAATGTTTTAATATAATGATTTTATTACAATGCGTCTTCACAAGAAAAAATAAGATATTTTTGTACAATCCGCAAGGATCTAAATGGCGAGCTTTACGTAAGTTGGTTGACGTCAAACATCTTGCTATATGACGTCACAGCACAATTGTATTCTAGCCTATCCCCATAATGTCCTTTTTTTCCTAGCGGGGCACACATATTGATCAAGAGTACTCAGCGTCATTAATGAAGGCCAGCTAGATATGTAAGGTGTCAAACATGAACAGATTCCAACAAGCACCATTAGGTCTCAGTATGCAGTATGTGATGAACAGTTTAAGATCATGTTGTTTATGGGTATGTCACACTGATTGGATCCTTTGTACTCAGCCCTGTCCGATGCCTCCTCCAACACCCCCGCCCTGTGATAACGCTGGAGGTTTGATAAACTCGTCCTAAAAGACTACTCATTTCCTCGCTATAAACAACAAGTGATTGTGTTTTAAGTCAATCTCTCTACATACTCTGAGCTCCAGTGGCCAACAGTTGTGTTCCCGCAGTCTTCAGGTTGTCCACGAGTGTGCCAGCAACGGTCTGCAGTGGGGCCTTCAAATCTTTGAATAGGTTGGTGAAGACGTCACCGACGCTGCTTGCAACACCCTTGAGGGTATCGACAAAGCCAGAAGCGTTGGCTCCAGACAGCAGGCAGGCAATAGCGACGAAGACGAGGACCTTCATGTTGAATCTGTCACCGATGGTAAAAATGATTTCTTCATCACGTGTGTCAATGCTAAGCTATTCAGAATCTACATCTACATGTGGGGCGATGATATATATTCTTTGAGAGGCATTTAAACGTTGGAGTACTAAGTAAGGATAAGAAATATGAATTTTAAAACAGAGGCTCTTCATCCATATATCTTATCCTTACGATGATATATCGTTACTACTGATATCCTTACGGCCATGCTAATAGGGTCGCATGCCTTGTATAGGAGTCCCAGCAATATCCAGCTTTTTTATATAGTGTGAAGTAAGACAGTGACGCTGTTTGGACAATAACATTGCGAAATTTGCAATTCACTGCATAATTGTTAGGAATTTATTAGGAAAGATTATTATCATTTTTTTACGAAAAAGGGTGCAGAAAGATTAATGACAAAACAACCGTGACCCAACATAAAACGCTCACCACATGTATTCATCTTATTTTTATATTTATTTCCAAAACGATTAATTCTTAACCGGACCTAAAAGACAATATTTGTCACACCACGAACATGATGTTTTCATTCCTCAACATAAAAGTGTTGTGAGTTTGTCACGTGTTCCTGATGCGGCTTCATTCACTCACTCATCCCAGGTCGTTACGGTTAGATGTCAGAATGTGTTGTACATTTCTTTAAGAATAGCCTGCTATTGGAGTTTACTGCTGCAGCAGAATGAGAAAGTTTACTTTCTATCATATGCCTGATATTCTAGAAAATCTACATCATCTGTGTTGGTGGTTTGTCTGGCTCATCCTTTCCAGTAACAAAGAGAGACCTTCGAGAGTGGATATTGTCACGGGTGGAGATGAGTTCAAACATATTCCATTGGGTGTAAAAGGTAAAAGAGCGGGGAAATCTAGGAATCATAGAAAATCAGTGATTGCACGGTGTTCGCGAAAAGCAATGTTCTATTTATAACATATTGTTGTTTAGTACATTATTGTTCAGTGGTCACTGAAGACTTAAGGTGTTATTTCATCCATTGAAATGATCATATCTTTTCCCGATCAATAGTGTATTTTAGCTTAACCTTGATGATCATTTAGTCCTTTACAACAAAATAAGAACTTGCACATCATAGTCCTGCCATTACACCAGTGGACAAGAGTCATTCCGTGTATGCTTTGTGTGGGGGTTATGAAAGAACTGAAATAGGCATCTATTACAAGGAAGAATCAAAATCCTTCATGCAGGGGAAGCCTGCAAGATGAGTGAGTGAGTGAGTTTGGGTTTAACGCCGCTTTTAACATTATTCCAGTTACATCGCGGCGTGTCAGCTTAATGTGGGAGGAAAGCCCGAAGTGATGGCCTGCAAGATGAGATGACTTACCTGATTATGGGTAGCACCGTAATGGCTCCTTCACACCTTTTATAGCCATTCGGTCGGGGTTTTATCACTTTTTAACACACACTTTTGTTTGCCATTGGCTGCAATTTGAATGGGAACAAAAACACTCCCAACATGACCTATTTAAAGGTCACTGAGATTAATACGTAATCGTTCAAAGAACAACCTATGGACCCAGTTGTCACATGACGGCAGCTGTGACGTCGTCATTCAGTTCGGAGTTCCTTCAGACATAGCGTATGGCATGGCGAAATAATTGAGATAAATATTGAGTAAAGGAAACGGCGAGGTTTACAGTGCTCTTCATCTTAAAGCAATATATAAGATGACAACGAGATTGGTCATTTTCCAATGTTGGGAATCTTCGACGTGGATAAATTACCACACATATTTCCGTATGATTGTAGTTAACTTACTGTTGTAAGTACAACATTGATATTGAGCAGTCATAGAATGTTTTCGTTTCATAGAATGGTAGTACCAGTCCTCACCTATGGCTCAGATATATGGGGATGACAGTACACTGAGATAATTGAGACAATGCAGCTTTTCCTTGTAAACAGGTACTGGGAGTTGGAAGTAAAACAATCACTGAAGCTATACAGGAAGATGACCTCTAGAAGTTTACTATATGAAGTGATGTATATCATACTTGTTAAAACTAATACATATAACAGAAGATAGATACCGGGGAAAATGTTGCAGTATGCTTATCAACCTTGATAATGCGTGCAGAAGGACTTGGGCGGGCAACATAAGGCAGTTATTATTCTCACTGGGATTTGAATATGGATGGATGACTCAATCTGTAGGATGTGCAGATATATTTCTTCAAACCCTCACTCAACGTCTTGAAGATGTTTATCTTCAGACGCGGGAATCAAGATTAAAGGAAACATTAAACAAGAACTTATCCAGCAGCTTAAATCTGTGTCAGAACCGTAAAAGTATCTGCCGAAGGTCTTCATTTCAGGAGAGCTCTTACAAAGTTGAGATGCGGAAACCATAACTTACATATTGAAAAAGGAAGATGAGAACATATTCCAAGAGAAGAATTCCAAGAATTATGTACATATTGTTTTTATACATTAAACATAGGCACTGTGGAACAAATTTTTTTGTTTACCTGTCTGTTATATCACAACAACAGGGATACATATCTTCAAGGAGTTAAAGACCATCTATGTTTAAATGCCATTCTTTATATATAAGTAACAGGGAAGTTGAAGCTCGGACTGACTGAGTGAGTGAGTGAGTGAGTGAGTGAGTGAGTGATTGACATAATAGAGAACATACGGGTTCTATAGAAATGAAAGTCATAACGTAATCACTGATTTCTGTGGTCCATTCATACAATCTGTTATTTTTACTTTTTTGCCTTTTCACTGTTATTGTCTGGCGTTGACGTTTTACATTCATATACAGATTAGCCAATGTACTGGACATAATATTCTCATTTCATGTCATGTTAATATCAACAATTCGTGTCTTTTCTACATTATGATCGTATTCGCCAACGTTTGCTTCACCAGTTCAAAGTTAACTATAAATGTGGGAGAACATACAACCACAAGCTGAAATAGGCAAGAGGAACTGGGGTAGTGACAGCTTTTTCAACACTACAAATCACTCATTTTACAAATCAAATATTATATTTATCTCTTACTAAAAATCGACATTTCACTCAAGTGAAAAACACCTTATGCCGGAAATATTTTTCGTCTACCCCAAGAGTACGATCATGAAAATCATGTAAGAAAACGCATTATAAACAGAACGTTTTTCTTTTTCATGCCAATCACAGGATTATCTTATTGCTACGCCACTCAATACCATGTGCACAGGTCACCCGCGCAGATGATAAATTATTTGACAAGGAAAGACAAGCGTCATCATTCTGTGTATTTTTATAACAAGAAATAATAAGAACACCTAGTGTCATCACTATTTGATAGTAAGTCAGAAACACATTCTTATGATATAGACGTAACCGTACATGGATACAAGGACATTTGTAAAGTGAGTGAATGAGTGAGTATTGCTTTACGCCGCTTTTAGAACACAAGAGATGGGCTTCACACATTGTATCCATGTGGGGAATCGAACCCGGGTGTTCGACGTGTTGAGCGAACGATTTAACCACTGTGCTATCCCACCGTCCCAGATTTCTTAAGACATTATGGAAAGGTTTTTGTCGCTTAATTTTTATTGCAAAAGAAATACAACCGACTGTCCATCGCAGTGACGATAGCAAGTAACCAATCAAATCTCTCGTTTGTTTTTCAGACGTGAGGTCAACTAGGTATGTTCAACAAAGATAACCACACATACTAAAACACATAACCCCTCTCTCAACCTCTATCTGAAAACATTCCTCAGTCCAAGACTGACCGTGTTCTTAGAGCGATTAGAGCATGTTAGCGAAGTGACAACGGTCCTGACAGTGGCAAGCTGTTCTATATCCGTCACAGGAGCGCCTGTTCTTGGTACCAGCAGAATGTCGACCATGGGACGGCAGCGGCTGTCAATCTCATGACAGATAAAACATACTGACATAACCGTCACCTGACCACTTGTCGTTGTTTTTTGTAATTACTGTCACGTTTTCTTGTTGCAAACTCAGTGACGTGACTGTCAAGTGACATGAAGGTGACGTTGCTTTGAGGAAGAATTGTGTGTAAGTCGTATGCCTTGTCGTATTGTTACCCACGCATTAGGTAACCGTAGAGACACAACAAACTAGTTCTTATAGTCATTTAATAAATTACAATGTGTCACCTGTGCTCTTATATGAAACCTTGTAAAGGGGTGTCGTTTAAAACCAGGTGAGACTTCAAACCGTGAGAGTAGTTTATGTTGCAATCAGTTTCTGTATTGTTCGACCTTGACGTGACCTCTCAGATTGGATGCACTCAAAACTCCAATAACAGAGTGTGAACATCCAATGAGGCTAGCTCGTGCTTATCATCAAATGACGCCTCCTGTACGATGGGTTGCCAGTCAATTAAGTTTCCTTGCTTTAAGTCGAGCAATATTCAGCAGCACGGACTTTTCGCTTTTTCTACGAAGGTTTCAGAAGTTTTATAAGACTCTTGCTAGAAAGATGTTTGATCAGGGTTTGAACATTCAAAGCCTGAGTACAGCATTCAAAATGTTAAGGTAAACACGTGGAGGCTACTTCCACTTTTAACACAACAGAGACCAGAATGATTCTAACTTGTACATCATGTTTCCCGTGGTTTTTTTTATATAGATGAACAATTGACAAGCCTTTTCATGTGTTTGTGACGGTTGTCATAGTTGGGACGGTATACGCTCACCTTTTCGCGAACACCTGGTATCATCACAAATCGATAGTGATTGGTCAACACATGTTAATGATATAGTCGGAATCGTAAGATGTATTCTACGTCTAGCAGAGATGTCTTATGATTATGGGAAGGGTTTCGTCGTCTTTATTCAATGTTTGACTTGGTGTGTAAGGCTGAATCTCTCAGATTCTAGACGTGCTTGGATTCGTGTGTACGTGTAGTTCTTTGTTTGTCAGCACCATGAATTGAATAACGAGTTGAATAAGGTAGCCAGTTACGTGTTTACAAAAAATCATAAAAGAATTAAAATATGGTTTCATTTTTGTCATTTAAGACCCCTAAAATTAGTTCATTGTTTCCATTAGCCATTAATGTAAGCCTTTTATTTTTAGCATAGGCTACCTTGATAAGAGCACGAATTGACAAGCTGATTCTACCGCAGATAATTTAGCCAGGGTAAAATAGCTATAGTTGACATATTAATGCTTCAATTCCTTTGTTTGACAAATTACTAATCCCATTTAGACCTTATCACTCGCTTGTTAAATTTTGCTGAGTACAACAAAATTATTAATCTTCTTGAGTGTTCTACATTCAGAAATAACTTCACACACAATCAACGTGAATGGAAAGTTAGGTGTGACATTCTTCAAAACGCAATGACATTACGTTGTTGGACTCTGACCAGCGTGTTGACCATGTGAGGTCAGGGTGTCCTGGTCGTGCTGGCCACACTGGACAGGTCATTCGTGTAAAGACCTGTCGAGGACCAGAGATAAGGTTGGTAACACCAGTCGTTTCTCTGACCTTCTGGAACACAAAAGTTAGCTCAGAAATAATTAGAGCGAACTATTCCACTACTATGACAACGAAACCAACATGAACAAAATAGCCTACATAAAGCTACAAAACCGTTTCAATAAATAAAAATGGCTATAACATGTCTATTTTAATTATAAACATGTTTATTAACGACAGTTCAACAGTTAAATACAGGTTCTGTGTGGACCATCAAGGTCTGTATGAAAGAATCCAAACAATGATAGCTTGCTCCTCTACGAGGTCCTGTGGTCAGATATGACCAGTTCGCGACGGTGGCCTTGTTCCTGTGTTTCCGTTTATCAGCACAGGGTGTGCCAGCTGCGTCACACTATCAGTGAGGTGATCAACACTGTGGGGCCGACTGTCTTTCACTGTAATACAAGCGACACAAACCTTTCCGTAATTCATAAGTCCATTGCACCACAATTCCAACTGTATCATGAACTGTCAAATGTGTTGATACCAGGTGTTTGGGAAAGGTGAGTATATGCTGCACCGCTGGTGGCACATGTCACAAACACATGCGAAGGCATGTCCAATGCTCGCCTGAACGAATACGGGAAAAAAGCTGAACGTTAAAATATAGAACTAGTTTTGTTACTGATCAATTAAATGTTTGAAATGTCCCCCACATGTCTACCATACACCTTTGGAAACTTTACTGAAGATCATGATTCATTGGTTTGAATGAAGAATAATTCTGGATCTGCCAACTATAAGTCGTCTTCTTCTCTCTGTGATACACACCAGTTACATCGTTACCTGGGGTATTGACAATAACAGTAAACAAGATTCACGTATGATAACCTCGACATACGACAAGCAATGACAAAGTATAATATCGTATGTTCAAGAAAGGTGTATCACACACATTGTCAAGACGATAGGCAGAGCAACCTGTCTTATCTACAGAAACTCATTGCAAGGAATGTGTGTGAAATAGATGAGAATCTAGTATCGGAGTACTGGCTTGCAATACACATATTTGTCGGGACTGAAGTGCTATTGTCTAATCTAATGTCATTTCTATAGACATGAACCAACATGTTCATAAAATCTTCACTGCTATTTTGTCTTCACGCCCTATTGAATCTTTCGTCGGGTTATCGAGATCGGTTATTCTCTGGCCTTGACGTCTTATGTTCACGTGGATAAGACAGCAAGCTTTGCCAACAAAACCTGTTAGTTGTCACATATGACAGAAGGGTCGAACGGTAATGTTGCCACCCCAATAGGAGGCAACTGTCCCAGCAAATTGTATTCAAGTCATTCCATTCTGTGTTGTGTACATCAATCCAGTTACAACATACACTACAGACACTATGTCTCAGACTGACATGTTACCAATGACGTCAAGCCCAAGACCGGGGATGAGGTGAGGTGAAATCAGGTTTACACTTATGTATCGAGGTGCATGCACGTGTGTTTTTTGTTGGCTGCCTGTACTGGTCCGGGCTAGTGCCGAGTTAATAGTGCTAGCCCATTGAGATACCAGTTCAACATGAATATCCCACTTAGACACAGTGTACAGACTCCGAGCCGACCAGTCCTTGCCCTAGTCCCGTAATGCCGAGCGCCAGGCAGGATAACAACAAGTACCATCTCTTAACGTCTTTGGTATAACGCGGCCGGGGCGGACTCTCTACCAATAGACCACAGAGGCGTCCCCAAGAACGTACTAGGGTACCAGATAGAAAAGGAACCAGCCCGTTAAACTTCGCACGTGTAGGCTCTCTAGTCCTTGTTTCCATCTTGAAATCGCCTGTGCCGCGTCTTAAATATACAGATTACGTCACCTTTCTTGAACTAAATTCTTGAGCAAATTGTGTTTGGCGGGTACTATCGGTAGGGTAGGACATAATTCTTTTGGGTGGGCGTGGTTGGTGTAACTGCCTTTTGGTCAGTATTTCAGTTATTTCACAGAGTGGCAGCCTTATGTTGGAGGGAATTATTCAGGTCTCAGATTTACCTCGTTGAAGCCTAATAAGCACGAGACGTGGCGGACACACGTAAAATCCTAATCAGGACGAATATGGGATTCGAACCCTCCATAGTACGTTTCTGGCAATTGTGTGGATTGCAAGTGTAGCCACAGTATCTGTATGTGTGGGTCATACTGTTTTACATGACAAGATACCACGAGTCTTCCGTCTAGCCACACTATTCGCATGTTTGCGTACGCCCAACGCTCGCTGACTTGGTTGATGCATGTCATCGTATCCCAATTGCGTGGGTCGATGCTCATGATGTCAATTACTGGATTGTCTGGTCCAGACTCGATTATTTACAGACCACCGTCATATAGCTGGAATATTGCTGAGTGCGGCGTTAAACAACAAACAAACAAACAAAGCATACGTGGAAGTATGTGGACATAGCTTGTTGGCGATCATTAAGTCTTCACATGTCCATGATCGAACAGCATCGTTGAATAACATAACAGTTTATTCATAATTTCAATACAACATTCACAATCACAAGGCAGTTGTAGTTTTGAGCAAGCAGCGCAAACAGTGTTATCACAAGCATACACAGACAACACATCCATACACGAGACTTCTTAAGTATTAGGTAAAACCAAAGTTAAGTTGACACATGGCCATATTGCAGGTTCTTGAAATCAACGAAGTTATCACATGTAAAAACATTTTCCCATGTGGCACTGCAGTTGCCCTTCAGGTCAACAATTGATGTCAGCAGCAAGACAAGAGAGAGAGAATTGATGTCAGCAGCAAGACAAGAGAGAGGGAATTGATGTCAGCAGCAAGACAAGAGAGAGGGAATTGATGTCAGCAGCAAGACAAGAGAGAGAATTGATGTCTCAAGAGAGGGAGACACAGTGATGAGGTCATGGGTGTTCCATCCTGTATCATAAACTTCAGTAACACTGCAGTAACAGAAGGTTCTTCTGAATGTTGATCAACTCCCAAGGTAGGCAATATGAACAATGTCGAGGCCTTCCTGTGTAATGCCTGGGGTGTTCAGGGCGAATCCCCGGGACCTGATAAATACATTTCAGTTGTAATACCCAGGTTTTACAATTAAAGTTTTATAAACTTGATGAGAACACAATTGTGTTTGATGATTGGTTACAAAGTCACAATTTTTTTTAACATGAAAATTCCATGACGTGAATAGGACCTGCAACCTCAGTTTTGTAAGCTAATGTTTTCCCACTGAGCTAACGGGGCAGGTGATGAGAAGCACTTAAGTTTATCATGTCATGTCATGACTCCAGCATGTCCATGCTTGCACATGTTTTTTCTCTCACATGCTTTGAGCGAATTACTTTCATACCGAGATACACAGTATTGTTTCACTATAAGACATGCTTTCTTATTTCTTCTGGTATTGCTTGCATTTAGTAGGTTCATAAGTTGGATAAAACACGCCTCCTCAGTTTTGGTTAAAAATGTTAAACCTTGACCTCGCTCACCAAAACCTTGGAGTTGTGGTTTATACTTTAGGTAGGCCCCTGCTGGGTCTTGTTCAAATGAATCCCCGAAAATAATGATGTAGGGATATCAACATCATATTGATGACTAGTTCATATGGGTTGCACATATACTAGTAGTTAATAAGACACTATTTTTGCTGGAACATCTGACGTTGTGGTCCAGGAGAAATCATAATTGTCCGTTCGGTGTGTAAACAAACACACACACAGCAATGTTCCAGCTACATGACAGCAGCCTGCAAGTCTTCAACCAATAGGTTAGCCATGTCTTCTTCGAGTTGCAAAAGATGTACCTGATTGCAAACCTTTCATTCTTTTTCAGTTTGACATGATGAAGTGTGGTGTCATCTATACTGACAGACACGGGTGAGTCATGGGGAATCGGGTCGAACGTGTCACCAGCACCCTGTTGAAAGTCATAATGAGGGCACTAAATGGATCAAGTGGTCAGGTTCTTGGACTTGGTTGATGCTGTGCCCATGTAGACAATGTGAATTGTCCATAATGTCAAGCACTGGATTGTCTTGTCCAGACTCGATTATTTACAGGCTGCTGTCAAAAACAGAGATGTTGCCTTTTACGGCATCAAAAAGTAACAATAAATTAAAATCAGTTTGAAAGGATGGTACACAGTAATATTGCCCAGTGCTAGATATATTGGATATTAAATGTGTAGACTGCTCTCCAGTTTAACTACTTTCTGTTAAATGTCAAGTGTTATCCCTGTCCTATGCACAGGTTCAAATAAGAACCATCCCTTTATTTAAAGATGCCCATCTGTTTATATTTACATATGTATTCAGCAAAACCTTCAACTAGGATAATGTGATGCAACAGCAAGAACATTAGCTGAATATTACAGAATCACAGAATATTCACCGTTAAATAGAAAGAAGGTCCATGTTCGTTGTTAAACATCATGCAGTTAGTGCTGAACAGTTTAAATATCAAAACATCAAAACATCAACACAAACAAAATACAACTAAACTTAAAACAACATGTATTTCTTTAACAACAGAAACAATGAATATTAATGTACATCATAAATATACTGATAGAATTGAATAAGGGAACATTTAGTTTCAGACACAGTAGAATGATATGCTATCATGGGTTCCCAGCCTCTCTACCAAATACACATTGGAAACAATGCACACAAACACATCTCAACATTTGATTCTGACGTGTGGAATAAAGCTTATTTCACTATATTTTTCATTGTTCCCTTATTTGTTTCAAACAGTATATAGTAAAGAACTCATGTCAATCAGAAGAGCACCATGTGCTGAACGTTTCAAAAATTACCAGACAGGACTGTCAAAACTATTCCCTGTTGTCATGTGATCAGGCTTCAGTTCAGTGATGTAAAATAATTTATGTGAGCCAACAATGATCCACATGGAGGGTAAAAGTTATAAATGCAATATTTTTGGTTCAGCAATATAATGATAGCCACCAGAATGTCATTACAGGATTTTTATTATAACAATCAGACACTCGGTGCACACTGCAACATGTGTGTCTGTAGTGCGTACGCCAGCGTATGTATTGATAAGTATAGACATGACTGAACAACGGATAGAAAGTGTGACTGTGATGGCAGGCATGTTAACATACAGTCTGTATATCGTGTGCACAATCAGTTGGGTTGACCTACAGAGGAAAAGATAAAAGATACAGCTGTGGAAGACAATGATGGTGGAGCAAGGCATATATGTCAGTGTGCTCATCCTCAATATTTCCGATGTCTACAGTTTATATACATATTTCAATACATTTCACATTACACATCAACGAGAGTGAGTGAGTGAGTGAGTTGGGTTTAACGCCGCTTTTAACACTATTCCAGTCATATCACGGCGTGTCAGCTTAATGTGGGAGGTAAGCCCGAAGTGATGCAGGTCTCAGACGTTGACCACTTCGGTGAAACCCACGAGCACGGGTATGGTGCTGACAAACCTAGAAACATAATCAGGGCGAACCAGGATTCGAACCCACAATCATAGGTTTCTGGTGTGCCCATGGGACGCAACTCTGCACAGTGAATCACAGCGCCTTAGACGACTGGGCCACCCGTTCCCCCACGTCAACATGAGGGGATCAGACTTGTTTTGGCTCAAGATATGTGTACACACAGTTTACCCTCTCCCGAGACGTCTGTATTAGGAGACATCATCAGCACAACCTACTCTCTTGAACTCGCAGTGAGTATCGGCAATATTGCTTATGTGGCATTATGCTGTGCTCTCTCACTCTTTCTTGATTACAATGAACCACATTGAGAGTCTCTCAATGAACCACATGTGCCACAGAGAGTGTCTCTCAATGAACCACATGTGCCACAGAGAGTGTCTCTCAATGAACCACATGTGCCACAGAGAGCGTCTCTCAATGAACCACATGTGCCACAGAGTGTCTCTCAATGAACCACATGTGCCACAGAGAGTGTCTCTCAATGAACCACATATGCCACAGAGAGCATCTCTCAATGAACCACATGTGCCACAGAGCGTCTCTCAATGAACCACATGTGCCACAGAGAGTGTCTCTCAATGAACCACATGTGCCACAGAGTGTCTCTCAATGAACCACATGTGCCACAGAGAGTGTCTCTCAATGAACCACATGTGCCACAGAGAGTGTCTCTCAATGAACCACATGTGCCACAGAGAGTGTCTCTCAATGAACCACATGTGCCACAGAGAGAGTCTCTCAGGGCATGTATCCACTTTATATTCTTCTACTTTGAACAAACACAGGTTCAGGTACGAGGTACCACCCTGTTAAGCCAGATACCTTTTCTAGTGAAATCATCCTAATTAACAGATTTTGGAAATATATTTGTATATATATACACAACTGTTGCCAACAGTCATTGTTCAAAGGGCAGTGTTTCCAGACCAACAATAACTTGACAAAGATATACAGCACCCTACCGATGTAGGGCTGATACTGTTTATACAGACTTTGAAAGTACTTCTGGTACACGTACCTAGGCAGGACCAAGGTTTCAAACGAAGGACCAAGATATCAAACAATGGACGAAGGAAACATATGGACAAGTAATACAGATGGCAAGAGATGGTTCTTGAAGACTATAATGAATAATGTCTGAATTTTCAATTCTTGTAGTAAAACAGGTAATTTTCTGTTCAAAGGTTCTATAGCTTGTAACCATCTCTATAGCTATAACCAATTTCTTGATTTACATGTCAACCACATCTTTCCACCTGGACAGATTGATGTGTGAAGCTAGTGGACAATGTGTCGTGGCATAATCAGTCATCAAGTGAAGTTCATCTCACAAATAACCCTGTCTGTAAAGGATGTTGTTGCCAGGTGTTTAGTCCTCCTCCTCCTCCCACACACTGTAGTCCTGGGACACAAGGTTGCCCACAAACATGTCCGCCTCCATGTGCTCCTCACACACCATCACCACCCTCAGCTGCTTCTTGCAGTACTCCGGCACCTGGAACATTGGTCCATGGCCGGGCACGATGTAGTCGGCTCGGCGGAGCACAGCGATCCGGCTCTGTTCTTGTTGTTCTGGCTGCTCGCTGTTGTCCTGCCACAGGTGGGGCTGGTCAAGGTCCTCGAACCTCTCAAACAGATCTCCTGCCAACACACAGGGCTAGTCTATCAGCGGCTGCATTCATGTGTTTGTTTGCTCCAGCGAACTCACCAAGGAGTCAGTTGGGAGAAGTATGTTAATGAGAAATACAAACAGAAATTAAACAAACAAAAGCCATCTCTAAAGACATATTTACTTTTAATTCTTACCAACTAGAAATTGTTTTTCTTTCAACCATTATCTTTTCTTCTGATAGTTCACCACGAGTTATCAATGCTCCCACAAAATATAGCTGAGTGCTAGTATCAATCATGATTGTATTTTGACATTTTCTCAAAGTTTGACTTAGTAGATTTGTTTGTTTTGTTCGTTGTTTAACGCTGCACTCGGCAATATTCAAGCTATATGACGCAGGTCTGTAAATAATCGAGTCTGAACCAAGTAAATCCATTGATTAACATCATGAGCATCGATCAACCCAATTGGGATACGATAACATGCATCAAAGAAGCCAGAGAGCCTGACCCCCTGATCCCATTAGTCACCTCTTACAACAAGAATGGGTGGCTGAAGACCAGTTCTAACCCAGATCTTCACGGGTCTTCACTAAGTAAGCGTCATTCTTATATCTTAAGGGGAATTATGTAAATGAAAGGGACTGCAGCCAGAGTGAATCAGCAATGTACATTACCATACCACAAGTTTCAGCTTGTTTCGTGCTGTGGTCTATACGGTACACAATATCTTTCAATGACTCACCTGTCACTGCCACCGTCCCTAGAGCTGTGTTCTTCACGATGACTGACACATCAGAGCCTGTGTGGCCCGGGGTCGGGACGACCTCCACATGCTCATCTATTTCATAGGGAATCCCCTGAAACAAGCCACTCACTCTCTCAACATCAAAACTTCTTAATTCTACAAGGGTCAACAAAGTTTGATTTAAAACATGAAACAGTTTCAACATCAGGAATTGTGAAAAATAAAATGATACAGCTTCATATGCCATTGAAAAGAAAGGAGTCGTAAATTTCCATGTCATTATACTGAACTGTCTTTCATTAAATCAAGACATTGTAAGACTAAAACAAAATAATAGTCTTGGTTCTCAGGCACTGCCCGCATCATCATTAAGTTTGCCCCACGTTTTGTTTTTATTTCCATTTAAAAAAATAAACCAAACAATTCATTAATAATTTCAAGTCCATCAGTAGCCAAATACTGTATGCCAGTATTTTAATCATCAAGGAATACATTTATGTAGGGAGACATAAGGCCCTTTCCCAGTTTATACAACTGTTTATTTGGTTACACAACTGTTTGTTCGGTTACATATCAGCAAAAAAAGACACCGCCCGCCCACACTATATTTTTAAAAACCATTGCCTGAGAACCAATTCTCTTATTTTTTAAAGCCTAACGTAAAATTCTTTAAATATTTCCTCATTTAACATGCTTGATACATACACTATTCAAACAACAGCTACTGATGTTAACATGGTAGCCTTCCTTCGTTTATCATGTCAATAGGTGACAGCTTATAGGTAAACACGTTGAACCTGGACTGAATCCCCCAAACCATGCAACAAAAAACCCTTTGAAGGAAAAATAATTACTTGCCAAAATGAAACAATTCATGAACACATCAAGTCAAACATTTCCATCAACCAGTGATTAAACATATCATGCAACAAATTAACGTTCCTGGATTATCCAGTGCATACATTCTCCATTCTATCATGACCTTGGACCAATCGGCCACCATCACATCCTGTGTGAGTACACAGAGGGCTGGTGATACATTGCAATATGATTTATGTGCACATCTGCCAACCTTGATAGAATTTAGATATGATACACTGGACGATGAAGGATCTGTGGGAGGTGTACAAGTGTACAAGTGGGAGGTGAACAGGTGGGAGGTGTACAAATGTACAAGTGGGAGGTGTACAATTTGGCGGTGTACAAGTGGGAGGAGTACAAGTTGGTGGTGTACAAGTGGGAGGTGTACAAGTGGGAGGTGTACAAGTTGGCGTTGTACAAGTTGGCAGTGTACAAGTGAAAGGATTACAAGTTGGCGTTGTAAAAGTGTGCGGTTTACAAGTGGGAGGTGTACAAGTGGGAGGTGTACAAGTTGGCGGTGTACAAGTTGGCAGTGTACAAGTGAAAGGATTACAAGTTGGCGTTGTAAAAGTGTGCGGTTTACAAGTGGGAGGTGTACAAGTGGGAGGTGTACAAGGTGGTGGTGTACAAGTGGGAGGAGTACAAGTGGGAGGTGTACAAGTGGGAGGAGTACAAATTGGGGGTGTACAAATGGGAGGTGTACAAGTTGGAGGAGTACAAGTTGGCAGTGTACAAGTGGGAGGTGTACAAGTGTGCGGTTAAAAAGTGGGAGGTGTACAAGTGGGTGGTGTACAAGTGGGTGGTGTACAAGTGGGTGGTGTACAAGTTGGAGGAGTACCAGTTGGCAGTGTACAAGTGAAAGGAGTACAAGTTGGTGGTGTACAAGTGCGGGTGTACAAGTGTGCGGTTAAAAAGTGTGCGGTGTTCAAGTGGGAGGTGTACAAGTTGCGGTGTACAAGTGGGAGGTGTACAAGTTGGCGGTGTATAAGTGGGAGGTTAACAAGTGTGCGGTGTACAAGTGTGCGGTGTACAAGTGTGCGGTGTACAAGTGTGCGGTGTACAAGTGGGAGGTGTACAAGTTGGCGGTGTACAAAAGGCTGGTGTACAAGTGGGAGGTGTACAAGTGTACATGTGGGAGGTGTACAAGTGTACAAGTGGGAGTTGTACAAGGGGGAGGTGTATAAGTGGGGGGTGTACAAGTGGGAGGTGTACAAGTGTACAAGTGGGTTGTGTACAAGTGTACAAGTGGGAGGTGTATAATTGGGAGGTGTACAAGTGGGAGGTGTACAAGTGTACAAGTGGGAGGTGTACAAGTGTACAAGTGGGTTGTGTACAAGTGTACAAGGGGGAGGTGTACAAGTGGGTGGTGTACAAGTGTACAAGTGGGAGGTGTACAAGTGTACAAGTGGGAGGTGTACAAGTGGGTTGTGTACAAGTGTACAAGGGGGAGGTGTACAAGTGGGTGGTGTACAAGTGGGAGGTGTACAAGTGTACAAGTGGGTTGTGTTCAAGTGTACAAGAGGGAGGTGTACAAGTGTACAAGTGGGTTGTGTACAAGTGTACAAGTGGGAGGTGTATAATTGGGAGGTGTACAAGTGGGAGGTGTACAAGTGTACAAGTGGGAGGTGTACAAGTGTGTTGTGTACAAGTGTACAAGGGGGAGGTGTACAAGTGGGTGGTGTACAAGTGTACAAGTGGGAGGTGTACAAGTGTACAAGTGTGAGGTGTACAAGTGGGTTGTGTACAAGTGTACAAGGGGGAGGTGTACAAGTGGGTGGTGTACAAGTGTACAAGTGGGAGGTGTACAAGTGTACAAGTGGGTTGTGTTCAAGTGTACAAGAGGGAGGTGTACAAGTGTACAAGTGGGTGGTGTACAAGTGTACAAGTGGGTGGTGTACAAGTGTACAAGTGGGAGGTGTACAAGTGTACAAGTGGGTTGTGTTCAAGTGTACAAGTGGGTGGTGTACAAGTGTACAAGTGGGTGGTGTACAAGTGTACAAGTGGGTGGTGTACAAGTGTACAAGTGGGTGGTGTACAAGTGTACAAGTGGGAGGTGTACAAGTGTACAAGTGGGTTGTGTACAAGTGTACAAGTGGGTGGTGTACAAGTGTACAAGTGGGAGGTGTACAAGTGTACAAGTGGGTTGTGTTCAAGTGTACAAGTGGGTGGTGTACAAGTGTACAAGTGGGTGGTGTACAAGTGTACAAGTGGGAGGTGTACAAGTGTACAAGTAGGTGGTGTACAAGTGTACAAGTGGGTGGTGTACAAGTGTACAAGTGGGTGGTGTACAAGTGTACAAGTGGGTGGTGTACAAGTGTACAAGTGGGAGGTGTACAAGTGTACAAGTGGGTGGTGTACAAGTGTACAAGTGGGTGGTGTACAAGTGTACAAGTGGGTGGTGTACAAGTGTACAAGTGGGAGGTGTACAAGTGTACAAGTGGGTGGTGTACAAGTGTTCAAGTGGGTGGTGTACAAGTGTACAAGTGGGAGGTGTACAAGTGTACAAGTGGGTTGTGTTCAAGTGTACAAGTGGGTGGTGTACAAGTGTACAAGTGGGTGGTGTACAAGTGTACAAGTGGGTGGTGTACAAGTGTACAAGTGGGTGGTGTACAAGTGTACAAGTGGGAGGTGTACAAGTGTACAAGTGGGTTGTGTACAAGTGTACAAGTGGGAGGTGTACAAGTGTACAAGTGGGAGGTGTACAAGTGTACAAGTGGGTTGTGTTCAAGTGTACAAGTGGGTGGTGTACAAGTGTACAAGTGGGTGGTGTACAAGTGTACAAGTGGGAGGTGTACAAGTGTACAAGTAGGTGGTGTACAAGTGTACAAGTGGGTGGTGTACAAGTGTACAAGTGGGTGGTGTACAAGTGTACAAGTGGGTGGTGTACAAGTGTACAAGTGGGAGGTGTACAAGTGTACAAGTGGGTGGTGTACAAGTGTACAAGTGGGTGGTGTACAAGTGTACAAGTGGGTGGTGTACAAGTGTACAAGTGGGAGGTGTACAAGTGTACAAGTGGGTTGTGTACAAGTGTACAAGTGGGTGGTGTACAAGTGTACAAGTGGGAGGTGTACAAGTGTACAAGTGGGCAGTACCTGCTGAAAGTCATGCATGATGTACTGGTCCCCGACACACACGTCGTACGACACTATGTGTATTGCAGTGGTGAAGAGATTCAAGTTCCCCACGTGATCCGAGTGTCCGTGGGTACACACACAATATTCAATCTTGTCTGGAGTTAAACCGTTCTTATGCAAGCCTGAAACCAACATGCAGGGAGTTAGTACAGCTGAACAAATGACAAGCACTCACATCACTGGACCAACATGTAACATCACTGGGATGACAACGACATGTAACATGCAAGCAGAATTTAAAGATCTTCGCCTAAACCAGAATCTGCAACCTCAGCACAAGAGCAGTAAAGTTTGTCTGGTGATCCCTGCTGAGAAAGTCCATATATTAACAGTCAGCATGGCCTCTTGGAAAAGTAGATTGTTAATTCCAACTACACTACCCCCTTTTATGTATACTTGGGAAGACTGACGTGCACATTAGATATAAGCATGCCCTCTGTACTGGTGTCACTGTGGGAATTGTGCTGACATTTATTTCAAAATGAAATCAAACATTACCATGAATTTTAATAAATATTTATATCTTTCTTGAGGTCAGTTTTCATGTCTTTGATAACAAAAAGCAGAAAATGTTTAAAACCAGGTGTGAAGTGCTGCAACTGAATGCCATCACAGAGTTATGGAGCTGACTGATAAACACTGAAATCTACTAGTGAGTCACCGAATTGGTTTAACACCGCTTTAGCAACAGTTCTGTGATATCACAGCGTGTCAGCTTGATGTGGGCGGAAAGCCCGAAGTGATGCAGGTCTTAGATAATTACTACTTTGGTGAAACCCACAAGCATGGATGTAGTGCTGACAAACCTAGAAACATGATCGGGGCAAACCAGGATTTGAACCCACAATTATAGGTTTCTGTCCTGCTCAAGGCAAGTAACTCTGCATGAATTCTACTAAATAATGAGGCAAGAGATTATCTCAGAAGATTTTGGCAAAGAGTGTTAAAAGATAACAATTCAGCAAGTGCCCATAGTCTGAAGATTCAAATACTAACAGATAAACTCAAGGGTCCCAGGAACCTAGTCAAATACTGGCACAGGTAAATGATAAACAGCTTCAAGCTGTCTTGTCGTCTTGTGGTCAGCAATCAAAGAATTCTCACTTGAAGACTGTGGTAGGATGATTATCACCTGTCTTGTCATAAGCATGTTTTCCTAAGTTAATAGTATGTACTAAAAGGAATATTTGCAACAGTTGTTTATGATTATAAAGGTTTTGTTTCTGTGGATGAGAGCCTGTCTTGACAAGATGACACACTGTCAGACAGGTCGTATGCTGTGACAGCTCTCTGTGGATGAAAGCCTGTCTTGACAAGATGACACACTGTCGGACAGGTCGTATACTGTGACAGCTCTCTGTGGATGAGAGTCTGTCTTGACATGATGACACACTGTCAGACAGGTCGTATACTGTGACAGCTCTCTGTGGATGAGAGTCTGTCTTGACATGATGACACACTGTCAGACAGGTCGTATACTGTGACAGCTCTCTGTGGAGGAGAGCCCCGTCTTGACATGATGACACACTGTCAGACAGGTCGTATACTGTGTGCCAGTAACGAATACCAGTTGTTCTGTATGTATTTACAATATCTAATCAAAATGAGGTACATATTTTCAAGTATATCATGTCAGCTAAAAATTCATTCAACTTAATTCTCTCTGATCATGCTCTTATTCTTTTTTGCCAAATTTTTAATGACCCATTTGAGAATTATCCCACAAACACGCAAGTCCCTGGTGCAATTGTAAAGCATACCTGCTCGTGAAGAATACTCAATTGTGAATCATGTCCATTTGGGAAACATGTCTACTGATGAAGCATCCCTGCTCATGAAGCATGTCTACTGATGAAGCAAACTTCCTCATGAAGCACCTGCCCACTCCTGCATCCTGCCCCCCCCCCCCCCGAACCTCCGACTTTATATCAATCCAAATGACATACCAAAGGAGTTCACATTAAAATGAAACAGTTCACAGAAAATGTTAGTAGACAGGACAAGAAATCTTTAACAATGCTTTAGGATGCTGTTAGGTCTTGAACAAGTTTACCTCTCCAAACTTATGCAGGAGGAAACAGTCCCTGACGGACACGTCGAACGACACGATGTGGAGCGCCTGTGGGAACAGGTTGAGGTTGCCTACTTTGTCCGTGTGGCCGTTGGTACACACGACATACTCAATGTGCTCTGGCAACAAGCTGTGCTCGTGTAGCCCTGGCATAACAAACCAACGCATTAACTAGGTCAGCCAGCATTAGAAACTTACATATCTAGTCCACTAGTCTTTATAATGATAACTAAAAGCAAAACCCTTAAAAATGGCAAATTTCTACTCGTCCTTATGATAACTTAACTACCAAGCAGTTTGGCCAGGACTAGTGTCAATTTCTACCACTGGACAGGGAATTCACCAGACACGTTGTATCTTACAGTCCCTGACTACATAAATATTTATGTTTTGTTTGTGTTGTTTCATGCCGCAACCAGCAATATTCCAGCTATGACGGCGGGCTGTAAATAAACGAATCTGAACCAGACAATCCAGTGATTGATATTGTGAGAAACAATCCACACAGTTGGGTATGATGATACGCAATCAATGACTTTGACCACCTGATCCACTTGGTCGCCCGTCACAACCAGCATGGGTTGCTGGGGCCTGTTCTAACCCGGATTGGGTCGCCATGTTAGGTAATAATTCCATAATGAGAATCAAAACTGTTACATACTATGTTCATATTTTTAAATGTGAGAGGTCTGATTACCAGTATGAAAACTGTTAGTGATAGCCAGTGCTAGTCAGTTCCAAGTCTTCGTATGGGCTTCTGTTACAGCTCCAGTACATCAGGGGAGGTAACTCACTGAATCGGGGGTTGGGGGTTTGTTTTAATCATCACACCATGTGAGACTAATGTCAGGGGAAAGCTCCAAGTGATGCAGTTTTAGACAGTTAGCACTTTGGTGATACCCAATATGATGCTGATAAACAGGGAATGAAGGATTCAGTCACACACACAGAGACACACACACACAGACACAGACACACAGACACACACACACACACACAGACACACACACACACACACACAAACTCCCAAGGTCTGGAGGTACATCAGATACCACCATATGTAGCCTGCATCAAGATTCAGCTGTAAAATCCAAGTGCCAACATAGAGGGTCAGTTTTAGCTGCTGAAGCTTCTGGGTTTTGATTGCTTCCCTCACCAAGCTCACGTGTCTATGTTTCCAGCATGGTGGCGACTTTCACTTATTTCAAGGAGAAAGTTACGTTTACCTACTAATGTCTTGTCTTAAAATACTAATAGATAAGTGTAATGCTTGAGTAATTGGTTATCTCCCTTTAAGATATGGAAATTATCTCCCTTTGATATATGACACATCCATCGCCAATAACACACAGGATATCAGTAGTTTGTCATCATCTCATCTCACCTTCAACAATGAGGTCTTTATCCCAGGGATTCCCTGTATCGACGAGGATGGTGTGTTCACCCCGCAGCAGCGTGATACTGCCACAGGCCTTCTGGTGGCCTAGCAACAAAACATAGCTTGTGACAGACGCGAAACAACAACATGAAATATCTCATTATTTCAAACATTCATTATTTTAAAAAATCAGGTCTTTAATAATTTGTCATATATCAAAAGCAATAACATATTCAGTCCCTCCTCTATTCCATGGCAAAAAATATATAGTGAGTGAGTGAGTGAGTGAGTATGGTTTTACGCCGCTTTTAGCAATATTCCAGCAATATCACGGCGGGGGACATCAGAAATGGGCTTCACACATTGTGCCCATGTCGGGAATCGAACCCGAGTCTTCGGCATGACGAACTAACGCTTTAACCACTAGGCTACCCGACCGCCCCCCGAAAATATATAGAAATTTGGGGGTAAAATTTTGTAAATTCTGCAATCATATGTTGATAATTCTGCACACAATTCTGCAAACCTTTTAGCTCAGTTTTCGTGAGTTTTGTAGTTGTTCCCCTGTTTGACTTGTGGCAGGCATTTTTACGATAAACTTATTCCCGGCTAGAACAGCTAGTGTTAAGACTTGTATTCTGATTTAAGATATGAGTATTGTAAATATATTTTGAATATTGATCCACTATTTATACAGCTTCTACCAGTTGACCAGTTTATTTATTTCATGCAAATTTGTGATAGTTATTCATGTAAAATCCTAGCATCTACTATATAAAATGTTTCAGCGTCGTAAATTCTGTGTTAACATTTATATTTAATAAGCAGTTTTAAAATGTTAAATATGTTATCGATTATTTAACTACATGCACTTTGTGCATTTTTATAGTTATTTTAGTGACACGAGTGTCTCTCTGGCCGGATGTTGTATGTTTTTTAATATGAAGAAAAATATAATTTATCTGCTTATGTACAACATGTGACACTTTAATTAAATATCATTCTTCTTCTTCTTCTATAAGAGGTGGAGGATTAACAGTAACTGCAATCTCTCTTGTACGCAATTGTTGTTTCTGCAATTGTTGTTACTGTTTATCCTCCACCCACTATATATATTCTGTACCGTGTTCATCATTCAGTGTTGCTTGACAACTGTATAAGAATCTATACCAAAACATTGTCTTTACAGTAATTAAAGAAGTTGATATCCAAAAATTGAGTCTACTTTATCATCTGTCAACTTCTAAGTAATGCCGATCAAACAATAAACTTCCCAACTACCCAGAGACAACAGACTGCAGACTAACTTCAGACAAATACTAATAATAGTCCTTGAACTGACCTGGCCCATCTGTGATGCTGTAACCTTCCTTGAGAACAATCACCTCATACATCGTTAGGTGCAGTTGTCATAGCAACCAGCGGACAAACTGAAACACAGGGCAAGCACAACACCACATAAATACACACACAGTATACATTGTATACACATGATCAATGATGAGATGGATATCTTGTACATGTACGTAACTTTCAAATCAATTTAGTATTGATGTTAGGCTAAAATAGAACCATTTCTGGTATAAACTAAACAAGGAAAATGACATGATTTGTGATTCTTTGATATTTATTTAACTTTTTCCTACTTTTAGGATACATACTAGGATGGTCTGCTAGATAATTGGCTCAAACCATCCTGTGATTTTTCAACAAGTTCAGTGAGTGGTCAGCAATATCATGTCAGGGGACACCAGAAATAGGCTTCACACTAGGGCTGTGTATTGACCTCGATTCTGTATTGCTATATATTGCCAGTTTACATTTTGTATCCCAGCAACGATCAAGGGAGATAATACGGTCACATGGAGCGCAAGCTCCTTCCCAGCACGTGACACCTTGGTATACTCTCGGTATAGAGAGATCCGCAGACTGGCTATCGCTGTGAGGAGCTCCATAGTCGCGATGTGTTCACGCTAATTGATAAGATATTCAGAGGCAAGTTGTATTAGAAAGATACTATTTTCCATCTCCATATCGATTAGGAACACATAAATACACTTATTATATTTGCACCAATATATTGCTACACTTTCAAATGTAAGGCAATATGTATTGCAGAAGATTTGCACCAGAATATGCCGGTATACCGGTAACACCGCACACCCTTACTTCACACATTGTACCCATGCTGGGAATCGATCTCAGGTCTTCGGTGGGACAAGCGAACACTTCAACCTCCAGGCTACCTCACTACCCTTAACATGTTCCAGCTGGTCTCTGTTGATTGATGACAGGAAGCCTGTACAATACAGTACAGTTGTGCAATATAACTGGTATACCAACATACTGCAATACAGACGTCAGCAATAAGCGTATCACAAAACAACCCTTGCGGATTGATATTTTCCAATACACTCAGCGAAGTATTAAAATATAATCATATCAGCAATTATATCTACTATCTTAAGGTGTTTGGAGGGACAGGATTCCTTTCTAAACCATGTTTACATTGACATTGCATATTGATGACATAATAGGTAGTCTCGTTTATCCATACTACCCATCTCAAAAGCTGAAGTCTTGATTATGAAATGAAGAAGTACCATTTGAACAGTACAAATGTTATTTTGCTCTGAATACATGTTGTGATATGTATCAAAATACAGCTCTCCATATTGCGATATATTGCAATACGATTTATGTGCCAATTTACTGTAAAGAGCACTGTAGTCTCATACAGACTTCCGGGACAGCACACAATTCAGTCTGTGAGATTTATTGATGCTATTGGCAATATAAATAATAATACAATGCCAGCTAAGTTACAGACATAATTATGTTATTGATCCATCAACACCAATGTGTGTGTGTGTCACAGCATCCACTGAACTGTTAATATTATATCTGCAGCATTTTATATGTACAGGGACTTTGCAATAGACAATAGCATTTGGATATCAAAAATATGAAATCAGAAACATCCTAATTTGGATGGATCACGGAATCCCACATGGAAGACTTCCTTCCCCCCTACCCCCCTACCCCACCTCCAAAGATCTCTTTATACATACATACATGTTGCGTGTTTATTCCAACAATATACATTTTTAGGGGGGGGGGGGCTAGCGTCCGGGACGAAGTCTTACCAATCCTTGGTTCCAAATTAAAACAAGTCTTATCTACATCAAATTTTAAAACAGTAGACTTATCTCCTTGGTGGCTGACAGAGCATGTTGACATTCATTCACATTGGTCAGTCTTGATTTGAAATTTATCTGGAAATTTGACAACACAAGAAAACTGATGACACGCAGCAGATGGGCCGACGACGACACTGATGCGTACTCAAATCTCATTACCTAACACTTACATGTCTGAAGTTCTCAACAACTTTTTCTCGATTTCACTTCGCGAATCTTCGAGAGCGGTGAAAATAGAGTTACCCGCCCTTGATTTGTAGACTCCTTACAGCAACAGTGAGGCGAGGTCATACTTAGAGCAAAAGTAACATTAGGATTCGAAGTCCACGCTGGTTTATATCGTGAAAAAGGGTAGCCTAGAAACTTAGAAACATTAGAAAGTTCGGAAAAGACAAAAGTGACTCGGACAGCCGCAGGTTGATATAGACAGTGACTGTTGAGCAACGCAATGTTAAATCAGGTTATTAATACCTTCTTTGATGGGCATTTAGAAGTTGGAGTACTAAGTAAGGATAATAATTTATATAATGGATGAACAACTTCTTTATTACAATTAAGAGCGACGTTTCGGTGTAGGTTCTAATAACGGTGTTAGAACCTACACCGAAACGTCGCTCTTAATTGTAATAGCGAGTATGATTTTACGCCGCTTTTAGCAATATTCCAGCAATATCACGGCGGGGACACCAGAAATGGGCTTCACACATTGTACCAATGTCGGGAATCGAACCCGGGTCTTCGGCGTGACGAGCCAACGCTTTAACCACTAGGCTACCCGACCGCCCCTTAATTGTAATAAGACCGCCTCCGTGGTCTAATGTTAGAGCGATCCCCGGCCGCGTCATACCAAAAGACGTTAAAGATGGTACTTGTTGTTACCCTGTCTGGCGCTCGGCATTAAGGGGCTAAAACAAGGACTGGTCGGCTCGGAGTCAGTATACTGTGTCTGAGTGGGGTATTCATGTTAAACTGCGGCATGGTATCTCAGTGAGCTAGCACTTTAAATCGGCATCAGTCCGGACTAGTACAAACAGCCACACACACACATACACGTGCATGCACGTCGCTATTTAAGTGCAATAATCTTGGACGCGACGTTAAACCCCATTTCACCTCAACCTCAACTAATTAATTGTAATAAAGAAATTTTGCATCCATAAATTCTTATCCTTACTCAGGTTATTTAGAATTGAACGTCAGTTTGGATGGGTTCATTGAAGTGTGAACGATTTAAAAGCGTTGGTTAAACTGCATGTGTGAACCTCCGACCTTTATATTTTTGTTCACCTTCCTGTAACCCATTTTTAAGATTTGATTTATCCCGAATATTGTTTGTAAATTTGTTCAGAGAATGAAATTATGTTGACATATTTCTAGATTATGTTGTATATATTCAAAGAACTATTTTTCTTTGCGTAACTGAGTATGAGTGGTGAAACGTATGTGACCGAGAGCCGGCAAATACCGACAAAATAACATTGTTGTAATGTTCTTCACCGAAACCAGAGGACTTCAAATTTAAGCAAACATTGTAACGATATTATTCGGCAAGACCAGTAAACTACAACGTATGAAATTATAAGAAAGGACGTCAGTTTGGATGGGTTCATTGAAGTGTGAACGATTTAAAAGCGCTGGTTAAACTGTGTGCACCTCCGAGCTTGCGAGTTTAACAAGAGTTTACAATTTACAACCCAGTAGGCACGCAACGTTGGATCAACGTTTTAAATTGGTTGCGTTTAGGTTGTGACGTTGATCAACCAAAATGCAACGTTGTATCAACGTTAAATCTTAAACGTTGAGCTATGGTTGTGATATTCACGTCACAACAACGTTGAATTTAAGACCTACGTACAACAGTTAATTTGACGTACGCCTAATGGAAAATCGACAAATCACCCTACTTTTCCACTCCGTTTAACCTTTTTTTAACACTGCATTGAAACCCAAGCATGATCAGTTTGTCTGCAAATCTATATTTGAACAAAGTATATTAAATTATATGTATATTTTCGTTTAGTGACTATTATAGATTATATAGCGGCTCCTAATATTCTTCATACAAAAACGTCGAGTGAAAAGGATGAACTGGTTTTGTGTCGAATATTTTGGCTACTGGAAACTGTCCTGGAACATTCACACAAATACAAATACTTACCGTATTGTTTATTTAAAATGTTAATCACAAAAGAACCTCGGGGTAGAATAGGTCTTCAGCAACCCATACTTGCCGTAAAAGGCGGCTATGCTTGTCGTAAAGGGCGACTAACGGGATCGGGTGGTCAGGCTCGCTGACTTGGTGGTTGATACATCCCATCGATCCCAAATGCGGGGATCGATGCTCATGATATTAATCACTGGATTGTCTGGTCCAGACTAGATTATTTACAGACCGCCGTCATATAGCTGGAATATTGGCGAGTGCGGCGTTAAACAACAAACCAACCAACCAACAAAAGAACCTGTAAAAGAAAACACTCAGAAACATGAACGAAACTTGCAACCAATGAAAAAGTGTCTATCATATAGACAGTGACAAAAACAAGTGTATAAAAACAAATGTTGTTGAAGTTAATGAAAGACACCTCATTCCGCTAATTTGTAATAATATTCATACTATTAATATATTATCATTCAATGCCAATAAAACAATATGTCTATGAATTCACTCCTTGCTTTTATGTCATATTTTCATAAGTATGCCTGTAAGATGTCAAACATGTACCAATAAACAGGTTGGACTTCACGGAAGGTGAAGAAAAGTGCGTGCACCTCTCCCTTACATCGCTGTCACGGGCTGAAATAACCAGATAGTCTACAACGACATTATACAGAACGTCCTGGAAGAACCAACTGTTAATCTACGCCGCCTAGAAGCCATTTTAATATTTTAGAAAGAAAACCACTATATTTGTAACTGTCCTGTACTTTGACATCCTTTTATGCTAGGGTGCACGGGTGGCCCAGTCGTCTAAGGCGCCGCGATTCGCTGTGCAGAGTTGCGTCCCTTGGACACGCCAGAAACCTATGATTGTGGGTTCGAATCCGGTTCGCCCCGATTATCTTTCTAGGTTTGTCAGCACCATACCCGTGCTCGTAGGTTTCACCGAAGTGGTAAACGTCAGGGACCTGCATCACTTCGGGCTTTCCTCCTACATTAAGCTGACACGCCGTGATATGACTGGATTAAACCCAACTCACTCACTCACTCACTCATTTTATGCTAAGGATAATTATCATAGCCTGTGGCAATTAACACGTGATCAATCGACATGACAGACGACTGAATGGGTGGAACGGTAGGGCTCAGTGACTTGGTTGATTGTCATCATTTGTGCCCTGGCAGAGTGGATTGTTGCTCATGATATCAATCACTGGATTGTACACTCTGTATAATGTACAGGTCACAGTCATATTGCTGAGAGCGGCATGAAACAACAAAGAAAACAAAGAAAACACTACGATCACTCAGACCAGTACGGAAAACAACACTGATGCTAATATGTCTCAGCTTTCTTTATTTTAAGGGGATAGAATCTGAGAAGATCCGGGCTAGAATAGGTCTTCAGCAACACATGCTTGTCGTAACAGGCGACTGTGCTTGTTGTAAGAGGCGACTAACGGGATCGGGTGGTCAGGCTCGCTGACTTGGATGATGCATGTCATCGTATCCCAATTGCGTAGATCGATACTCATAATGTCAATCACTGGGTTGTCTGGTCCAGACTCGATTATTCACAGACCGCCCGTCATATAGTTGGAATATTGCTAAATGCTATATGACGGGAGACAAACAAACAAACAAAAACATCCAGCGGTCGAATTTCGCTTGCAGAGTTACGTCCTTAATTAGCGGTGCCAGTTATATATCAACTTCCCGGGGCAAGGGAGGTAACTGACTGTAAAAGTCCAGTTTCAAACTTTGCTGAGCTGGGCTGGAATTTCTGGGCTCGATCGAAGCGCCACCAGGCCTTTTGATGTCCCTCCTATTGACCAATCAGATTCCAACTCTCATAGCAATTGCATTTGCTCTAAACAAAATGGCGGCGCCCAGTGAAGACGATCTAATCGATAATCAAGATCGGTTCTTCGCAAAGTGCATCAAATCACGTTAGCACCTTGATTAAAAAAATTAAGAGATTTTGAAAATATCTGTTCACGCTGAGTTGGTAGTACACATGCTTTGCAAATCCTGCAATCAACCGAAATCTGCACGCCGGTTTAAGAACCGGATGTTGATTAAATTTCGTTACGCGATTTTGATTGGACTATACATAGACACGTTAGTCCAGTCAAAATATAACTCCATAATTCAGCCAAGTTCGGCAAGGGTGGAAACTGGACTTTTATAGTCATGCAGTTAACTCCCTTGCCCTGGGAAGATATGCCAATATCGTATGGTCGTTTCGCTTTCACTTTCGCCCTTATTGGTGACCTTGTGGTCTGCCAAAGCGCTGTATCCGTCGTTCTGAATTTTCACCTGAAGTTATAAACACCTACACGACCTGTCTGGTGACATGAAGCTGGCACGACATAGTTCACATAAGTATACTGCTGTCATTATACCACTGTTGTAAGTGAAGCTCCGGTCCGCACCAGAATACACACAGCGTGTTAAAACAATTGACATGGTTTCCGGGTTATTGTGGGATAGGCTGATAGAGGTTGCGGCCCCTTTGAATGGATCCGTGTTAAGGAAGGAAAACCCATTGTATATATATATATATAGAACAGGTTAGGCATCCTGCCAGCCTCTTCCTTCTTACGGATTTGTGATGAAACTTGGATGTGCCAATGGCACATGTCTTTGTGACGCATGCTTGGCTACAGTGGTGTAGGTCCTTCACACACACACTCTCCCATGCTAGGCTACAGTTGTTGAGGTGTAGGTCCTTCACACACACACTCTCCCATGCTAGGCTACAGTTGATGAGGTGTAGGTCCTTCACACACACACTCTCCCATGCTAGGCTACAGTTGTTGAGGTGTAGGTCCTTCACACACACACTCTCCCATGCTAGGCTACAGTTGTTGAGGTGTAGGTCCTTCACACACACACTCTCCCATGCTAGGCTACAGTTGTTGAGGTGTAGGTCCTTCACACACACACTCTCCCATGCTAGGCTACAGTGGTGTAGGTCCTTCACACACACACTCTCCCATGCTAGGCTACAGTTGATGAGGTGTAGGTCCTTCACACACACACTCTCCCATGCTAGGCTACAGTTGTTGAGGTGTAGGTCCTTCACACACACACTCTCCCATGCTAGGCTACAGTTGATGAGGTGTAGGTCCTTTACACACACACTCTCCCATGCTAGGCTACAGTTGTTGAGGTGTAGGTCCTTCACACACACACTCTCCCATGCTAGGCTACAGTTGTTGAGGTGTAGGTCCTTCACACACACACTCTCCCATGCTAGGCTACAGTGGTGTAGGTCCTTCACACACACACACTCCCATGCTAGGCTACAGTTGATGAGGTGTAGGTCCTTCACACACACACTCTCCCATGCTAGGCTACAGTGGTGTAGGTCCTTCACACACACACTCTCCCATGCTAGGCTACAGTGGTGTAGGTCCTTCACACACACACTCTCCCATGCTAGGCTACAGTTGTTGAGGTGTAGGTCCTTCACACACACACTCTCCCATGCTAGGCTACAGTGGTGTAGGTCCTTCACACACACACTCTCCCATGCTAGGCTACAGTTGATGAGGTGTAGGTCCTTCACACACACACTCTCCCATGCTAGGCTACAGTTGTTGAGGTGTAGGTCCTTCACACACACACTCTCCCATGCTAGGCTACAGTTGTTGAGGTGTAGGTCCTTCACACACACACTCTCCCATGCTAGGCTACAGTTGTTGAGGTGTAGGTCCTTCACACACACACTCTCCCATGCTAGGCTACAGTGGTGTAGGTCCTTCACACACACACTCTCCCATGCTAGGCTACAGTTGTTGAGGTGTAGGTCCTTCACACACACACTCTCCCATGCTAGGCTACAGCTGTTGAGGTGTAGGTCCTTCACACACACACTCTCCCATGCTAGGCTACAGTGGTGTAGGTCCTTCACACACACACTCTCCCATGCTAGGCTACAGTTGTTGAGGTGTAGGTCCTTCACACACACACTCTCCCATGCTAGGCTACAGTGGTGTAGGTCCTTCACACACACACTCTCCCATGCTAGGCTACAGTTGTTGAGGTGTAGGTCCTTCACACACACACTCTCCCATGCTAGGCTACAGTTGTTGAGGTGTAGGTCCTTCACACACACACTCTCCCATGCTAGGCTACAGTGGTGTAGGTCCTTCACACACACACTCTCCCATGCTAGGCTACAGTGGTGTAGGTCCTTCACACACACACTCTCCCATGCTAGGCTACAGTTGTTGAGGTGTAGGTCCTTCACACACACACTCTCCCATGCTAGGCTACAGTGGTGTAGGTCCTTCACACACACACTCTCCCATGCTAGGCTACAGTTGATGAGGTGTAGGTCCTTCACACACACACTCTCCCATGCTAGGCTACAGTTGTTGAGGTGTAGGTCCTTCACACACACACTCTCCCATGCTAGGCTACAGTTGTTGAGGTGTAGGTCCTTCACACACACACTCTCCCATGCTAGGCTACAGTTGTTGAGGTGTAGGTCCTTCACACACACACTCTCCCATGCTAGGCTACAGTGGTGTAGGTCCTTCACACACACACTCTCCCATGCTAGGCTACAGTTGTTGAGGTGTAGGTCCTTCACACACACACTCTCCCATGCTAGGCTACAGCTGTTGAGGTGTAGGTCCTTCACACACACACTCTCCCATGCTAGGCTACAGTGGTGTAGGTCCTTCACACACACACTCTCCCATGCTAGGCTACAGTTGTTGAGGTGTAGGTCCTTCACACACACACTCTCCCATGCTAGGCTACAGTGGTGTAGGTCCTTCACACACACACTCTCCCATGCTAGGCTACAGTTGTTGAGGTGTAGGTCCTTCACACACACACTCTCCCATGCTAGGCTACAGTTGTTGAGGTGTAGGTCCTTCACACACACACTCTCCCATGCTAGGCTACAGTGGTGTAGGTCCTTCACACACACACTCTCCCATGCTAGGCTACAGTGGTGTAGGTCCTTCACACACACACTCTCCCATGCTAGGCTACAGTTGTTGAGGTGTAGGTCCTTCACACACACACTCTCCCATGCTAGGCTACAGTTGTTGAGGTGTAGGTCCTTCACACACACACTCTCCCATGCTAGGCTACAGTTGTTGAGGTGTAGGTCCTTCACACACACACTCTCCCATGCTAGGCTACAGTTGTTGAGGTGTAGGTCCTTCACACACACACTCTCCCATGCTAGGCTACAGTGGTGTAGGTCCTTCACACACACACTCTCCCATGCTAGGCTACAGTTGTTGAGGTGTAGGTCCTTCACACATACACTCTCCCATGCTAGGCTACAGTGGTGTAGGTCCTTCACACACACACTCTCCCATGCTAGGCTACAGTTGTTGAGGTGTAGGTCCTTCACACACACACTCTCCCATGCTAGGCTACAGTGGTGTAGGTCCTTCACACACACACTCTCCCATGCTAGGCTACAGTTGTTGAGGTGTAGGTCCTTCACACACACACTCTCCCATGCTAGGCTACAGTTGTTGAGGTGTAGGTCCTTCACACACACACTCTCCCATGCTAGGCTACAGTTGTTGAGGTGTAGGTCCTTCACACACACACTCTCCCATGCTAGGCTACAGTTGTTGAGGTGTAGGTCCTTCACACACACACTCTCCCATGCTAGGCTACAGTTGTTGAGGTGTAGGTCCTTCACACACACTCTCCCATGCTTGGCTACAGTGGTGTAGGTCCTTCACACACACACTCTCCCATGCTAGGCTACAGTTGTTGAGGTGTAGGTCCTTCACACACACACTCTCCCATGCTAGGCTACAGTTGTTGAGGTGTAGGTCCTTCACACACACACTCTCCCATGCTAGGCTACAGTTGTTGAGGTGTAGGTCCTTCACACACACACTCTCCCATGCTAGGCTACAGTGGTGTAGGTCCTTCACACACACACTCTCCCATGCTAGGCTACAGTTGTTGAGGTGTAGGTCCTTCACACACACACTCTCCCATGCTAGGCTACAGTTGTTGAGGTGTAGGTCCTTCACACACACACTCTCCCATGCTAGGCTACAGTTGTTGAGGTGTAGGTCCTTCACACACACACTCTCCCATGCTAGGCTACAGTTGTTGAGGCGTAGGTCCTTCACACACACACTCTCCCATGCTAGGCTACAGTTGTTGAGGTGTAGGTCCTTCACACACACACTCTCCCATGCTAGGCTACAGTGGTGTAGGTCCTTCACACACACACTCTCCCATGCTAGGCTACAGTTGTTGAGGTGTAGGTCCTTCACACACACACTCTCCCATGCTAGGCTACAGTGGTGTAGGTCCTTCACACACATACTCTCCCATGCTAGGCTACAGTTGTTGAGGTGTAGGTCCTTCACACACACACTCTCCCATGCTAGGCTACAGTGGTGTAGGTCCTTCACACACACACTCTCCCATGCTAGGCTACAGTTGTTGAGGTGTAGGTCCTTCACACACACACTCTCCCATGCTAGGCTACAGTTGTTGAGGTGTAGGTCCTTCACACACACACTCTCCCATGCTAGGCTACAGTTGTTGAGGTGTAGGTCCTTCACACACACACTCTCCCATGCTAGGCTACAGTTGTTGAGGTGTAGGTCCTTCACACACACACTCTCCCATGCTAGGCTACAGTTGTTGAGGTGTAGGTCCTCCACACACACACTCTCCCATGCTAGGCTACAGTTGTTGAGGTGTAGGTCCTTCACACACACACTCTCCCATGCTAGGCTACAGTTGTTGAGGTGTAGGTCCTTCACACACACTCTCCCATGCTTGGCTACAGTGGTGTAGGTCCTTCACACACACACTCTCCCATGCTAGGCTACAGTTGTTGAGGTGTAGGTCCTTCACACACACACTCTCCCATGCTAGGCTACAGTTGTTGAGGTGTAGGTCCTTCACACACACACTCTCCCATGCTAGGCTACAGTTGTTGAGGTGTAGGTCCTCCACACACACACTCTCCCATGCTAGGCTACAGTGGTGTAGGTCCTTCACACACACACTCTCCCATGCTAGGCTACAGTTGTTGAGGTGTAGGTCCTTCACACACACACTCTCCCATGCTAGGCTACAGTTGTTGAGGTGTAGGTCCTTCACACACACACTCTCCCATGCTAGGCTACAGTTGTTGAGGTGTAGGTCCTTCACACACACACTCTCCCATGCTAGGCTACAGTTGTTGAGGTGTAGGTCCTTCACACACACACTCTCCCATGCTTGGCTACAGTGGTGTAGGTCCTTCACACACACACTCTCCCATGCTAGGCTACAGTTGTTGAGGTGTAGGTCCTTCACACACACACTCTCCCATGCTAGGCTACAGTTGTTGAGGTGTAGGTCCTTCACACACACACTCTCCCATGCTAGGCTACAGTTGTTGAGGTGTAGGTCCTTCACACACACTCTCCCATGCTAGGCTACAGTTTTTGAGGTGTAGGTCCTTCACACACACACTCTCCCATGCTAGGCTACAGTTGTTGAGGTGTAGGTCCTTCACACACACTCTCCCATGCTAGGCTACAGTTGTTAAGGTGTAGGTCCTTCACACACACTCTCCCCTCGTATTCTTGACTTTGAAGATCATTGTGAGAAGGAAACCTGCATGAACAAAGTGAGTGAGTGAGTTGGGTTTGATGCCGCTTTTGCATAAAGAAGAACAAACTATATTTATTAGCAGTTTCATTATGAGTTTCATATGAATCGCAAACACATTTCGGAAAAGGGTGCTGCAGCACTACAATGACAGTGTATTTGTATCCATGTGTTTGCTGAGTTTTTGATGTGGCGAGCTAACGTTTTATGATTTAACCGCAACGTGTCCATTCCTTCTCGGCCCTGGTGGGACAGTGGTGTTTGTCAGGATCTATCGGTGGAATCCGAGATTCATCTCGTATACGATCATCAGTTGGCCCGACCACGTGCAAAGTTGAAACGTATTCGAACTGTCTCATTGCATTTGCCACCCTTACTTAAACTGACACGATGTGATATCATGGACACATTGGTGCTCAGTTCATTCCTTCCTGACACAGGTGAGGTGAAATTGGGTTTAACGTCGCGTCCAAGATTATTGCACTTATATAGCGACGTGCATGCATTTGTGTGTGTGTCTGCTTGTACTAGAACGGACTGATGCCGATTTTATAGTGCTAGCCCACTGAGATACCATGCCGCAGTTTAACATGAATACCCCACTCAGACACAGTATACTGACTCCGAGCCGACCAGTCCTTGCTTTAACCCCTTAATGCCGAGCGCCAGACAGGGTAACAACAAGTACCATCTTTTAGCGTCTTTTGGTATGACGCGGCCGGGGATCAAACCCCGGACCTTCCGCTCTCCGGGCGGACGCTCTACCACTAGACCACGGAGGCGGTTTTCCTGACACAGGACCACCAGTAACAGGATGTCGTGGCCACGACCGTCAACTGTCCGGGGAGCGCTAGGCGGAGAGTCCGCTTCATCCCTTACCAAGCAGTACACCGAGTGGTGCTTCGTACTTGGGGACCGACCATTATATATTCTGGGGGTGGGTGGGCAGAAGAGATATTGTTCAGGTATAGCTGCAAAAGGAGACATGTTTTTTTAAATATTATTTTCGCTCTGAAAACAAACCTTGCAACAATGTCATTTTTTTTCAACCAGTATATGCATAATTGTTCAAGCATTTTCGGGGATAACTTGATATGTTGAAAAAGTCCAGGCCCGAACCACTCACCCCCCAACTATACCGTGGTCGGCCCCTTCCAATGGCATACAGGTAAATACCGTACTTACTGATGAAGGAGCACGCTGCCATCATGCTGAACATCCCAAACCAGCCAATCAGCGTCTTCAGATGAGACGCCAAGATGGCGCCCAGTGGTGCCGAAATAGCCTGCAGAGAGATGTCATTGAATCTAGGCATGCCTTGCAGTGTGTCATCAGACAGTGTAAACTGTATTCTGGGGTCACATACAGAACATACCACGTGTAGTATTGATTTAATGTAAATGTTGATGGAAAGCATAGTCATTGTTGACGTAATACTCGCGTCATTGTTGACGTAATGTTTAGTTTAGTCACAAGGGATCAATGTTGACCCTGTAACTTGCCGACAACTATTTCTGTACAAAAGACACCACGTCACCACAACCATGATACAGCTGATAAGAACAAGGTGCCATTACAATCGTGTGAGTATCTTACACATTTTACGAAACCCGTATCAGAAATCATATATTTCTCACCCTCCCATTGCTAACATTCTGTAACCCCTACGACAGGCATGCTATTGTTATAATATGTATGTAGTGTCATAGTGTCATTGTTTACATCTGCAACATAAAGATTGAACATGTATATTTAAGGAGTAAACGACCATGACTCGTTTATTTCTTATGAGATATCAGCATTATGTACAGCCTCTTTAAAAATAAACATAAAATGTACAAGCTTAAAAAATATTTATCCGTATTTTAATAATGACTCCCTCAATAGAATCCGACTTCGGAGATTTCGGACAAGTCCATTTTATGCAGGGGTGTGTATTTCCCGCATATTCTTACAATCCTCACGTCAATTACCTGTACCTTTTCTCCCAATGCGGATTGTCACATCTCTCCCGCTCTTGGATGCGATCGTTCGGTCATCGCGTTTATCTGCGTTGCCCAGCTACATCTAAAGGGACCAATTCTAAAGACACTCCCCTCTATTAAAGCTTTATAGGAGTGTATATATATATAGTAGTTTCCTAGGTTCTATTCTTTACGTACCTTTTCATATACCCATGTGCAGTGTAACTATTGCCTTTCGTTCAGTAGGGGTTTCACAGCGTTCAATTCTCTGAATTTTTCCGTCGACTGAGAAGTTGCAAATTTTATTTTTTTTAGATTCTCTTTGGGTACCTACCTGCGATGTAAACACAAAGCCGTAGTTGATGGGGTAGTGTGTCTGGCCAAATGCCGTGGTAACCGCGAGGGAGAACAGGGCGAAGTTGCCGGCCAGTGTGCCGAACATCAGACACACGTAGATGAAGTAGAGGGGCTTCCCTCCCAGGCTGGTGGCGTGGAACGTGATGAGGATGCCGGTGGTGAGGCTGCACAGACAGGCAGTGGCGGTCTGCAGTGACACAGAGATACGTCATGTCTCGAATACGGGTGATACACAGTGAACATCATGTTTAGAACACAGGTGACACACCTTCTACGTCATGTTTTGAATACAGGTGAATCACAATGTACGTCATGCTTAGAATACAGGTAAAACAGTGTACGTCATGTTTAGAACACAGGTGGTGCATATTGAACAAAATGTTTAGAATACAGGTGAAACAGTCTGCGTCATGTTTAGAATAAAATAATACACACTGTACGTCATGTTTAGAATACAGGTGATTCACAGTGTACGTCATTTGTTGAACATGGATGAAACAATGTACGTCAGGTTTAGAATGAGGGTGATACACATTGTACGTCATGGTTACAATATAGGCGATACACAGTGTATACGTCATGTTAAGAACACGGATGAAACACTGTACGTCATGTTTAGAATGCAGGTGATACTTATTGTACGTCATGGTTAGAAAACAGGTGATAGGCATGTATCACAGACACAATTTGTACGTCAAACACTTCGGTTATGGACTGTAAAGGACATTGTGACAATCAGCGAACATCATCATACCATTTTTCACAAGGAAGGTTCGCGTTATGCATAATGTGGCTGTTTGACAAACCCACGCATTCTGCCATCAGAGTCCGTGATGTGGAAACAGCAACACTTTTTAACACAACCCACGCGCGATATGTTCACTTTTGTTACACGTTTTGAAATACAAATTTCACTCACATTGTAAGAAAACCGATCTCCAATAAAACCCCAAAACAGTCTCCCTAAACAGTTGAGAAGGGCAGCAAAGGCTCCGGTGACTGCCAGGAAGATGTCGTCTTGGATGAACGTCTGGCCGTAGTCCTGCAAGAACAGAGAAGTCACGTGACACTATGTTCAACACACCTGGACGTGGCGGACATACACTGGCGTCTGAGAACTGTTCATCAACCAAGTCAGCAGCCTGACCACCCGATCCCATTAGTCGCCTCCTACAACAAGCGTAGTCGCCTTTTACCGCAAAGCATGGATTGCTGAAGACGTATTCTCTACCCAGATCATGAAACCGAATACCAAACGATAGCCACATGGAGATATTTTATTACTTGTTTGAGGTTTAAAGAAAATACTAAGTTGGTCTATTTTATTAAAAGAGGACACACTATGACCTTCACAACGTGCATGTTTCATAATGTTTATATTCATATGTTCCCCAAAGAGAAAATGCAGCTATGTTAGTCGAAAAAGGCTATGTTGGAGGTCGGGTGCGGTGACGAAGCAAAAAACGTAAATTGGTTGACTGCGCGGATCGTTGTCCATATTAATCACTGGGTTCTCTTGTTTACACTTGATTGGTTAACAGGTCGCTGTTATGTAACTGGAATATTGTTAACCTCGGTGATAAACAACAACCAAAAAACAACCTTTATAGGTGAGGTGAGGTGAAATGGGGTTTAACGTCGCGTCCAAGATTATTGCACGTGTATGTGTGTGTGTGGCTGCTTGTACTAGTCCGGACTGATGCCGATTTATAGTGCTAGCACTCTGAGATACCATGCCACAGTTTAACATGAGTACCCCACTCAGACACAGTATACTGACTCCGAGCCGACCAGTTCTTCTTTTAGCCCTTAATGCCGAGCCCCAGACAGGGTAACAACATGTACCATCTTTTAACGTCTTTTGGTATGACGCAGCAGGGGATCGAACCCCGGACCTTCCGCTCTCCGGGCGGACGCTCTACCATTAGACCACGGATGCGGTCCCCTTTTTTTATAAATGCTGAGTGACTGTGAATGGATATGTGATGCGGAGATACAGTTGACCTGTTGTGTGAGTAATGCACGCAGTCATGATCATCGGTTGACCGCAACATTATTCCTTGTATACCACAGTTATATATCCCACTAAAACACGAAAGGGATATTAATATGAAGAATTGTTGTGGGGCAGTTTAACCTTGTATAGTGTTAAGATAAACACCACTCCTTGGCCGTTAAGCAGGAAACACATCCAGATGATGTAGAAATGTCGGGTCTGCAGCACTTGGACAGGGGTCACGTCGACGGATGACCTACAACAGTAACGGCGGAGCCTGAAAGCTAATCATACACTCGTCAGTATATTGCGATGAGTGTTCAGAAGGTATATCACATAACGGAAACTATTAAGGGACCGACCTTTTGGTGTTGGTGGGCGTAATGAAGACAAGAAGAATATCTAGACGAACCGTGAGGTTTTATTTTTTTGTAAAACCCATGTAAAATGATCTGTTCATGATATCGTCGGCCCTGTATAGGACTTGGTGAAGTGATGTTGTTAGCAATGATCACTAATTAATACATTATGCCTAGGATAACCAACATCAGTTTGATCAGTACTTATTACACGTAGATGGCCATGGTGCGAGTTTACCTACATATCAACATCGTTGATGTTTTCATTCGTCTCTGTGGTTGCCATGTTATTGGCCCCAGGGACAAGACCGGTGTCATCTTTCAGTTGCGTGTTTGCAGTGTGACTGGCCCCAGAGACAAGACCGGTGTCATCATTCAGTTGCGTGTTTGCCATGTGATTGGCCCCAGAGACTAGACCGGTGTCATCATTTAGTTGCATGGTTGCCGTGTGACTGGCCCCAGAGACAAGACCGGTGTCATCATTCAGTTGCGTGGTTGCCGTGTGATTGGCCCCAGAGACAAGACTGGCACTAGCCTCAGTGACAGGGGAAACGGACTTAAGAGTGTTTTCTGTTGAAACCTGCAACATTAAAGCTGTTACTTTGCATAGTGCGTTACAGTTCGTATAATGAGTACTATAACCTTCATACAATGTAGATCTCTTGCAACTATTGGACATGATATCATCACATGATGTTTAAGGCGAGTTTATTGTCCGTGTTACGATTCTACTGAATGAATGACACCAAAGTTAAATTCGATATATTACCACTGGGTCATGTACAATAGCAATACATCGATAATTCAGTTCAATTCAGTTCATATTGATGTATTCATGGCCATTGGCCTCCATACAATGATGTCTTCAGTTCTCTTTCATAATAAATATTGATACATAGTTTATTTGCTTGTTGTTTTACGCCGCAGTCAGCAATATGCCAGCTACGTGACGGCAATCATTCAATAATCGAGTCTGGACCAGACAATCCAGTGATTGATATCATGAGCGCGCAAGTGGGATACGATAACATGCATCAACCAGGTCAGCGAGCCTGACCACTCGATCCTGTTGGTCGCCCCTTACGACAAGCATAGGTTGCTGAAGAGTTATTTTCACGGGTGAATAAACTGGCTATACCTGTGGGGGCTCGCTTATCAACAGGACACCCACCAACTGTATGGCGGCGTACAGCCCCCCAGTCAGTACAAACACCCACGGCACTCTCTCCAAGACTTCCGGCTGGGTGAAGTATCTGAAGATCAGAAGACGTTGATTATTACATAAGACAAAATGTCAACGAAAGAAATAGTTCAACTAAATAACACAAGATCTGTAACACTCTAATATACATAACGTATTTGCGATAGTATCAATAATTTAGTCACATACGAATTTTGGCCTGTGTTTGCGGAAGCAGGCAGGTCTGTCTTGTGGGACAGTCATAAGTGAGTGAGTTTGGTTTTACACCGATGTGACAAGTATTACAGTAAGTGAGAAAGTGTGTTGGATTTAAGGTTATATCAGTTACAATAATAGTTAAATCGGATCTTAATGCACGTAGGTGTGCCTTTCAGAGAAGGCTTTGTAAGGAAACTTCAATCTTGTTCTACACATAAAATATGTCGCTCGTCACTGACATAATGAAACGGCTGGCTACATTTACTCCTTCAATGTATCATCTGAACGACTTGCATATATTTTACTCACTTTTCGTCATTGACAGTCAGATCCGTGGGCAGGTTGCCGGGGTTGATGAAGGCTGTCTGGACCAGGTTAAAGATGAACCCTCCTCCCCCGAACCCCGCCACCACTAGACCCCCTGCCAGACCCTTCCGTTCTGGCAGCCACTGTCAGCACACAACAACGTGAGGTGAGTTAAAACAAGGAGATAGTTTTGCAATTTGTTTGTAAGGCATCCCTTGGCACTTCAAACAACTTCAGTTGGATTTTTAACTGTTCATTGCATTATTATTTAAGGTGAGTGGGTAGACTACTTTCTGGTCCACTTTTACTCCAAAGGATCAATATCATATCGGATATGGGATTCGAACCAGCAAATTTAAGTTAATGCTGTACTGAGCCAAAAGCAAGAGGTCATACGCACTCATGGTTCTTTGCTTGTTTGTTTAACGTCGCACTCAGCGGTATTCCAGAATTTAACGTCGGCCTGGAAATAATCGAGTCTGGAGCAGACAAACCAGTGATTATTAGCAATGATGCATGCCAATAAGGTGCAGTGACACACAATCAACCAAATCACCAATCCTGACCACACGATCCATCACGTCGTCTCGGACGACAAGCATGGACTGCTAGGGATTGTACCATGTGCTAACCAGGAACCCCAAGTGGCCACCTCAGTGCTCAGCCTACCTGATATATAACGTGTACATGCATACGGGTGGTCACATGTAGCGTACCTTCATCGCGCAGGCCATAGGCAATGAGTAGGCGACACCTACACCAAAACCGTTCACGATGCCGTACGTCATGATGACGCCGAGGAATGAATGTTGCACCGTGAAGAACGTCAACATGACACCTGCACTGAAATCAAACCAACATGTTCAACAGCATCTGACATGAAGAGCATATTTATAAAAACAGGGGCTTTTGAGGCGATAACGGTGGCAATACAGTGTAGTCCCAATGCTCATGACCAACAGACACCACACCACAGTGGTTGTTTGGTTTATAGCTTATGTCAATAATGAAATCATTATTACGGCCCACAGTTTTATTATTGGTTGATAACAATTCATCGGGTAGGTTGCCTTCCTGTGATGCAAATAAATACATTTTAACGGAAACTTACTCATTTGCTCTTAACTGTTCTTGTATTCAGGATACTAGATAATACAGTGTGCGAAGATGAACCCTTTTATTCCAGTCACCGATTACCACCGTTGTCCTTGGCATAGTACAACCAAATACCGACCACATATATCACACTCAGTATCTCAGTGGGCTAGCACTATAACATCGACCTTAGCCCGGAAGGTTCAAGCAGACACGCACATACGTGCATGCAAGTCGCAATGTAAGTGAAATAATATTGGACGCGACCTTAAGCCCCATTTCACCTCAATTCACCACTGTTCAGTGTTCTTGATGTTCTAAGCCTACGTAACTTTGACATTTTATGTAAATTCGTATACAGTGGCACAGTTAGTACGTTTGCTTTTTCAATTTGTGGAATATATCTACTCGCTAAGGTTCCACCAACAGTGACAGTCTATAAGTATGCTCACGATTCGCTCTTGGTGTGCTCACCTCATCAGCCAAGAACCCAGCAAGACTGTAGGTCGTAGTCCCAGCTGTCGGTAGATGACGCCCCCTAGGAACATAGACAGGCCGTGACCTATCAGGTTGCAGGCGTAGATCCACACGCTGTCACTGTAGGTGATGTTGTCACGTGTGCTGTGACGTAGATATGACGTCAGATATGGCGACAAGTTACCTGCATGGATACGAGACAACTTCACGTTCAAAAGTATGTGATATGGACAGTAACACGGTTTTGGTGGACATTTGAAATACACATTCTCACAGCTGCCCTTTATATGTAAACAAAAGCGACAAAATTCGGTCTGCAGCGTTGCGTCCTAGACACGCCAGAAATAAATTTTTTTCAGCTTTGTCAGCACCATTCCCGTGCTCGTGTGTTTCATCGAAGTGTTAATCGTCTGAGACCTGCATCACTTCCGACTTTCTGACGTAGTATAACTGGAATACTGTTAAAAATTAGCGTTATTCCCAACTCATTCATCAATAAAATACTGACGATACCAGGTGCCCACATATAGGTAAGCGCATCTTGCTTTACCGATGGCACCCCTCACAAACACATGCTAGGGCAAGTCAAACTCAAACTAGTTGCACGACGGGGCACAGGGTTCGTTGGTATTTTTATCTTGTCGCTGGTCCGCCAGCCCCATGGAAGTGCTCATGGCTTTCACTTAAGTGGTAAATGTCTGCAGCTTTGTGTTGACACATGAAGTATTGTTCAAAGCATGTCCCCACTCAATGACTCCTAAGGGGGGTAGCTATTTACATTAGAGATACAGTGTGTCCCAAAAATATGGGCTTCTTTTCGTTGGCCTAGAAGCGATATGGTACATGTTAAATGTTATTTAATTGGTACTGTTTATCATGCAGATAAGAGTGAAGCGTAATGGGAACTAATTGATAAAAAAAGAATATATTTGCAAATGTTGCATGGAAATACACAAATTATTAGAGAACCTACTAGGATCACCCAACATTCTAGTACGATCCAGTTTGAAGTGACAGCTGTCCGATATGTGTAACCATAAAAGAAATAATCCTTAAATATCATTCCTTGAAACGTAAAGTGTATTATTATTATTCCTTTGCACATGGTTTAAACACGGACTTGTTTAATATTGATAGTGATATATTAATCTCATCGGGAAGTTTGTGATAAACATATTCCTAATAAAGTTGCTACCATACGATCAAAGGATCCGCAGTGGATCAATAATATATTACGCTCCTTATTAGGAAAAGAATATCTTAAACTTGAAGCAGCTAGACACAATTTTTCCCCAACTGCATTTCGGAATAGGTTGAATGATATTTACATGGATATTGCCAATATTCTCAATACATCTTTGTGGACCAATCCGGCATATATTATCCTGACATGCACCTTCCAACCTTAGAATTCAAATCGGCTACGAAACATGTAGCACAAACGCAAACTCAGCTGAAAAGCATGTTCTGATGGCAAAGGTTGTCCTTAATGCAGCAATCATGCAATTGATCATGTAAACCATGCTATATAAGCACACGTGTTGTAGGGATTCGGTATGCATTGTTTCTGCTTGTCTTAGAACCTGCAACACGGAAAAACATCAAATTCCAATCATTATTTGAAGTTTTGAGATGCCTAGCCTATCTGAAAATGACCGCTTGGGAGCTATTGGAATGCTCCAGTCAGAAACATCGCAGCTTGAAGTTGCTAGGCGATTGAACGTGCACAGAAACGCCGTTTGGACGTTATAGAAGCTCCGGCAGTTCAACAAACACAGTCAGAGACCGACAAAGGAGCGGAAAACCCCTAGTTACGAGCGTCCGTCAAGATCGTTGTATTCGAACCACCCATTTGCGAAATCGGTTCCAGCCTGCAACAATCACTGCGAGAGCCATCCCTGGCCTTTGTCGAATATCGGCACAGACTGTACGTCGCCATCTTAGACGTTACGAGATTGTTGCGAGGAGACCAGCCAGACGCCAAATACTGACCAACAGTCACCGCCTCTTGCGTCTGCAGTGTTCGTGAAGACAGCGAGTTGCGTTGGACAGCAATTTAGTGGAGACAAGATCTGTTCACCGACGAGTCTCGCTTTAACCTCATCAATGATGTCCGAGTATACCGCGGTCGCGATGAACATTAAGTTGAGAACTGTGTTGGGAAGGAAGGCACATCATCTGATATGGGGAGGAATCACCGAAAGACAGAGAACTCGTTTGCAAGTGATCAATGGCAATTTGAACGGGAAGCGTTACCGTGACGGGGTAATCTAGCCAATCGTTGTGCCGTTTTGGAATCAACATGGACCTGGCATGATGTTTCTGCACGACAACGCCCGACCCCATGTAAGCCCGGATTGTTCAGCCTGCACTTTGACAGAACGTCAATGTGATGCCATGGCCTGCTCGCTCTCCAGACCTTTCCACAATTGAACACATGTGGGATGAAATAAACCCACGTTTACCACGTGCTCCGACTACAGAACAGAAACTGAGCGGAGATGTGGGATGTCATCCCACAATACTGTGTTAGACGTTTGATCCGTTGCTTTGCATCCAAGCGAGAGGGGTGCACACACGCTACTGACGTGTGAATTGACAATGCTGTTCTTGCATCTTTCTCTTGTCATAAAGCCATTTCTGTGCTAGACATATGTCATTTAAACGTGTGAACTTGTTTTACTGGTTCATTGTCTGAAAATATGAATTCTTTTAGATGCCTGTTTCTACTTTGATCAGGTTCTTATTTCATATCATGTCACAGGAACTTTTGTTGCTGGGTATATAATTTTGCTTGAAGATGAAGTTAGGGATATACCACTATCCATGGACACCACGAAGGCAACTGGCCCTGATGGTAGTGGAAATGAATTACATAAAAATACAGTTTACAGTTTGGCCCCAATCCTTACTTAACTATTGAATTTCCCTTTTAAAAGGCAATTTTCCAAAAACTATGGAAAGAAGGTCTTATCATTCCTATTTATAAGAAAAATGGCGTAAATGAATGCACAAATTACAGACTTTTTTACAGACATTTTTTCAGCAAAGGAATGCAGAAAAATTAGTATTCAAAGACGTGTATAACTACTTAAGGAATAATACTGTGCTCACTAACCTACAACCTCAATTTACCAGGGTGAGGCCACCTCAAATTACTTGACGTATTTACATGTATATGACTTTATTGCAAGGGCTTAAAATGAAGGTAAGGAAGTCAGAGCTGTATGTGACATAAGTAAAGCTTTTGATAAAGTTTGGTACAAAGGAATACTTTATAAACTACAACATTATGGTATCTGTGGAATGTTATTGAGATGGTTTGATGGTTACTATCGACATCAAAAGGAAGATATGAATGGCTATAGCTCTGTGTGGTTTATTCCTCACAGTTAGTGTGGCCAACCATCCAAGTACTGTATATGTTTCACTGTCAGTGTGGCCAACCATCTAAGTACTGTATATGTTTCACTGTCAGTGTGGCCAACCATCTAAGTACTGTATATGTTTCACTGTCAGTGTGGCCAACCATCCAAGTACTGTATATGTTTCACTGTCAGTGTGGCCAACCATCTAAGTACTGTATATGTTTCACTGTCAGTGTGGCCAACCATCTAAGTACTGTATATGTTTCACTGTCAGTGTGGCCAACCATCTAAGTACTGTATATGTTCTACTGTCAGTGTGGCCAACCATCTAAGTACTGTATATGTTTCACTGTCAGTGTGGCCAACCATCTAAGTACTGTATATGTTTCACTGTCAGTGTGGCCAACCATCCAAGTACTGTATATGTTTCACTGTCAGTGTGGCCAACCATCTAAGTACTGTATATGTTTCACTGTCAGTGTGGCCAACCATCTAAGTACTGTATATGTTTCACTGTCAGTGTGGCCAACCATCTAAGTACTGTATATGTTCTACTGTCAGTGTGGCCATATATGCAAGGCAAATACTGTTCAATACTAACAATAAGTCTTTGCAGCTGTAAAATGCATCCTTCTTTAGGAAGTGATCACGACAAGAGGTTCTTATTTTAATTACATTGCTTACTTTTTATGTGCAATGCAACTGACGACACTGAACATGTCTGTATCTTCTAAGGCTCATATTGCGCACATAGCCATGGCAAAGAGACATAAACGTGGAAAAGGACATACCAAATGTGTAGACTGTGCCGAGTGTTATATGAACCATCACACCTCCCAAAGTCACTCTACAGACACGACCAGACAGCATGATGGCATCCATGCAGTGATCCTCAGATCTAGGAGTGTCAAGGTAACAGCAGGCAGGTTAGAGTAATGCATGGATAATTGAATATAGGTGGCGTGGAACAATAATTTATTCCGCCAGGGGAGCAGTCAGGCGTGCTTGACACCTATGGGTAATCAGCTTAACAGATGTGCTCGTAGGTTTCACCACAGTGTTAAATGTGTTCTTTTTCTCTCATGAAACTGATACTGCTTGAAATAATCTTCAAACCGGCGTTACACTCTACTCACCAAACCGGCGTTACCCTCTACTCACCAAACCGGTGTTACGCTCTACTCATCAAACCGGCATTACTCTCTTCTCATCAAACCGGCATTACACTCTACTCACCAAACCGGCGTTACGCTCTACTCACCAAACCGGCGTTACACTCTACTCACCAAACCGGCATTACTCTCTACTCACCAAACCGGCGTTACTCTCCACTCACCAAACCGGCGTTACGCTCTACTCACCAAACCGGCGTTACGCTCTACTCACCGAACTGGTGTTACGCTCTACTCACCAAACCGGCGTTACACTCTACTCACCGAACCGGTGTTACACTCTACTCACCAAACCGGTGTTACTCTCTACTCACCAAACCGGCGTTACACTCTACTCACCAAACCGGTGTTACACTCCAATCACCAAATGGGCATTACGCTCTACTCACCAAACCGGCGTTACGCTCTACTCACCAAACCGGCGTTCCACTCTACTCACCGAACCGGCGTTACACTCTACTCACCAAACCGGTGTTACACTCCAATCACCAAATGGGCATTACGCTCTACTCACCAAACCGGCGTTACGCTCTACTCACCAAACCGGCGTTCCGCTCTACTCACCGAACCGGTGTTACACTCTACTCACCAAACCGGCGTTACACTCTACTCACCAAACCGGCGTTACACTCTACTCACCAAACCGGCGTTACACTCTACTCACCAAACCGGCATTACTCTCTACTCACCAAACCGGCGTTACTCTCCACTCACCAAACCGGCGTTACGCTCTACTCACCAAACCGGCGTTACGCTCTACTCACCGAACTGGTGTTACGCTCTACTCACCAAACCGGCGTTACACTCTACTCACCGAACCGGTGTTACACTCTACTCACCAAACCGGTGTTACTCTCTACTCACCAAACCGGCGTTACACTCTACTCACCAAACCGGTGTTACACTCCAATCACCAAATGGGCATTACGCTCTACTCACCAAACCGGCGTTCCGCTCTACTCACCGAACCGGTCTTACACTCTACTCACCAAACCGGTGTTACACTCTACTCACCAAACCAGCATTACACTCTACTCAACAAACAGGCATTACTCTCTACTCACCAAACCAGCATTACTCTCTACTCACCAAACCGGCGTTACACTCTACTCACCAAACTGGCATTACTCTCTACTCACCAAACCGGCATTACTCTCTACTCACCAAACCGGCATTACTCTCTACTCACCAAACTGGCGTTACGCTCTACTCACCAAACCGGAGTTACTCTCTACTCATCAAACTGGCGTTACGCTCTACTCACCAAACCGGCGTTACACTCTACTCACCAAACCGGCGTTACTCTCTACTCACCAAACCGGTGTTACGCTCTACTCACCAAACCGGCGTTAGTCTCTACTTACCAAACCGGCGTTACTCTCTACTCACCAAACCGGCGTTACTCTCTACTCACCAAACCCGCGTTACACTCTACTCACCAAACCGGTGTTACACTCTACTCACCAAACCGGCGTTACACTCTACTCACCAAACCGGCGTTACACTCTACTCACCAAACCCGCGTTACGCTCTACTCACCAAACCGGCATTACTCTCTACTCACCAAACCGGCGATACTCTCTACTCCCCAAACCGGCGTTACGCTTTACTCACCAAACCGGCGTTACTCTCTACTCATCAAACCGGCGTTACGCTCTACTCACCAAACCGGCTTTACTCTCTACTCATCAAACCGGCATTACTCTCTACTCACCAAACCGGCGTTACACTCTACTTACCTAACCGGTGTTACACTCTACTCACCGAACCGGCGTTACACTCTACTCACCAAACAGGCGTTACGCTCTTCTCACCAAACGGGCGTTACGCTTTACTCACCAAACCGGTGTTACACTCTACTCACCAAACCGGTGTTACGCTCTACTCACCAAACCGGAGTTCCCCTCTGCTCACCAAACCGGTGTAACACTCTACTCACCAAACCGGTGTTACACTCTACTCACCAAACTGGTGTTAACTCTACTCACCAAACCGGCGTTATGTTCTGCTCACCAAACCGGTGTAACACTCTACTCACCAAACCGGTGTTACTCTCTACTCACCAAACCGGTGTTACACACTACTCACCAAACCGGTGTTACTCTCTACTCACCAAACCGGTGTTACACACTACTCACAAAACGGGCGTTACACTCTACTCACCAAACTGGTGTTAACTCTACTCACCAAACTGGTGTTATGTTCTGCTCACCAAACCGGTGTTACACTCTACTCACCAAACCGGTGTTACTCTCTACTCACCAAACCGGTGTTACACTCTACTCACAAAACGGGCGTTACACTCTACTCACCAAACTGGTGTTAACTCTACTCACCAAACCGGCGTTATGTTCTGCTTACCAAACCGGTGTAACACTCTACTCACCAAACCGGTGTTACACACTACTCACAAAACGGGCGTTACACTCTACTCACCAAACCGGTGTTACACTCTACTCACAAAACGGGCGTTACACTCTACTCACCAAACTGGTGTTAACTCTACTCACCAAACCGGCGTTATGTTCTGCTTACCAAACCGGTGTAACACTCTACTCACCAAACCGGTGTTACACACTACTCACAAAACGGGCGTTACACTCTACTCACCAAACTGGTGTTACACTCTACTCACCAAACCGGTGTTACACTCTACTCACCAAACCGGTGTTACACACTACTCACAAAACCGGCGTTACGCTCTACCCACCAAGTCAACCTATGTTCAAGTTAATTATAGTACACTACATTTGACTGGCGTTACTACTTGTGTATGTGCTTATGCTGAATGAAAAAGACATGACATGTGACACAGTTGTCAAACTCTTGACTTGTCCCATACATCAGTGCAAGCTGTGGCAGTTCAGGATATGCAAGGTATATATATCATCAGCTGTAGTGATCGTAGTCTGATCGCAGGAACTTTTTTTTCTGTGTCCACATTGTCAAGAAGAAATGAGCCCCGATAAAAGTAGCAGTATATCCATACTACCCATTACTGTAAAATAAATCTTGCAAATATTAAATGAATACTGCAGAAAAATGCAGAAAGATATTGTTTATGAATATTGAACCTTTTACCGAAAGACCTATGCACCAGTTTACTATAATTATGTTGAACCATGGTGGAGTTTGAGGACAGACTTGCCAAATTCCTTGAGGGACAAAATACTCCAGAATAGGTTGTTTTACAGGTTTGTTAATAACGGAAAACGGAAAAAATGAAAATGAGTGTTATTGTGTGACTGGGATTCTTGTTCACCCCTTGATTGCCTGGTTTGTTCACTGTCTGCTGTCGCATGGCAGGAGGGATTGCTGTGTGCTGTCAGGCAATAAACACATTCTTTTCATGCAAATGGTGTGAATGGTGGTTGCTACAGTTGAGGCAGGACATGCTCACCCTTTTCGCAAATACTTCGTGCCATTACTGATTTTGAGTGACCCATTCATAAATAAAGGGGGGAAAGGTATGCCAAGTTTTTGTTTTTAAGTAATTGGAAACTGAGTGAGTGAGTTGTGTTTAACGCCGCTTTTAACAGTATTCCAGTTATATCACGGTGTGTCAGCTTAATGTGGGAGGAAAGCCCGAAGTGATGCAGGTCTCAGACGTTTACCACTTCGGTGAAACCCACGTACACGGGTCTGGTGCTGACAAACCTAGAAACATAATTGGGGCGAACCGGGATTCGAATCCACAATCATAGGTTTCCGGAGTCCCCAAGGGACACAACTCTGTACAGCGAATCGCGGCGCCTTAGACGACTTGGTCACCCGTGCCCTCCAATTGGAAATTGAAATAACTGTTGTTAAATTTGATTCTGTCTATTTAACCATCACTCATCCTTGTTTGTAAAACATAGTTAGTGGCTGGGTAATTTTGTGTAAAAATATATATTGGTTCAATGAAGCTTAGGGTAAGAAATGACTCTTCAACCACATCATCATGACCCCTAGCATGACAGACATGTTGTACATTTGTCCAGAAATAAGCGAATGTATTGATTTTCAGGGGAAAGATGTCTCCAATATCCATCAGCTCTTGTTCATTACGTGAACATCAGGGGAAGAATAGGTCTTCAGCAACCCATGCTTGTCGTAAGAGGCGACTAACGGGATCGGGTGGTCAGGCTCGCTGACTTGGTTGATGCATGTCATCCTATCCCGAATGCGTGGATCGATGCTCATGATCTCAATCAATGGATTGTCTGGTCCAGCCTCGATTATTACAGACCGCCGTCACATAGCTGGAATATTGCTGAGTGCAACAACAAATTTCCAATGCTATTTTTACTTTTACACCGTATGTTTAGTCGAGACTGGTTATTCTCTGGCATTGACGTTTCATTTTTATATTCACCGAAACGTATCGCTGAGGTATTAATCGTTGCGGTCGAACTCCAACGGGACTTGGGACTTCTACGAGGAATGTGTTGTATCATCGTAATCCGTTCTCCATTTTGATTTAAGGTGGTAATCGCATAACGGGATCGGGTGGTCAGGCTCGATTATTTACAGACTGCCGTCATATAGCTGGACTATTGCTGAGTGCAGCGTTAAACAACAAGCAAAACAAAAACAAAACAAAACAAACAAACAAAACTCACGGAATACCTGTATATCAAAACGATGGAACTCTTAGACATTTGAATGACATTTTGATATGACTATCAAATTAACTTATGTCACACGACAAACACGCTTCTCGTCTCGATGTACAATACCTTCGGCGTAGCAGGCTACAGAAGTGTGACTAATACTATAACACGTTCACGCAACGCTGATGATTTACCAAGTCTTGCAGCAGCAGCCTTGTAGAACAGTATGGTATGACAAAATACTATCGATATTTCACTTCAGTGGTAACATGTGTTGCTATAACTATTGTTATTCCTTTACAGTTACTACAGTTATGTTTTCAGACTAAGATCAATGACAAAAATATTATTAACAAAACACGTTTTTGCCTTGTCAAATATACTGTTGATCGCAATTCGTGGCCAGCGCCGAAAATATAAATTGTATCAGGTCAATTGATGAGATAATAATGTGTCTTGTTTACAGGAAAATACAAATATCTTCCACACTGGACAGGCTTTACTTTCCGCCGTCCATGTAACCGCTTGTTAGTCATTGTATAATCAGCTCTCATAAAACTCCTCTATAAAAACATGCATCAGTGTTTAACATTTTTGTTTATACATTTATGACTGTTCCTACATAAAAATGAAATAAACATGTCAATATACTGACAAGCCAAACATGTGTTTTACATGTCATGAATCATAAACGTCAAACGCCATTTCATAGTCCAGCTGGTGTACTAGACATCTCGGTTCACCACACCTGTCATTATTGTCCATCATACTACCGAGGGACCCAGTGGTACTGAAGAGATAGACATCAAGTTGAGCACGTGCGCATGACCAGAGATTGACATGTCCAAGGAATATGGTAGGATCGGGTATGGTTACAAATAAGAAGACTGTTCGAGAGCTACATCGCGGATGTTTATATCGGTCGTCCTTTACTGTTCTTGACATTGAAGGTTGTGATGAGAAGCAAACCTGTCAATTCAAATAAGAAGATAAGTAATAAAGTAAGTACATGCACGTGAAATAACAGTTGTATATAAGTTGTATAAAATATGTCAATACAATCACAACCACAGAAAATACGACATTAAGTTAACAGGGGCGTGAGACAACGCAAGTTAACAAAGGCATATACGAGTTCTATATCCGACATTCTATTCGAGTTCTTCTGCTTCAGTGATGTGAATCTTCAAATTAGAAAAAATAAGGAAGATAAATACTTTACAAATACGTTAAGGCAATGTAATGATTAAAAAGTAAGATCGAATCCTTTTGCATTCATGTAGTATACACGTGTAATTCGTAGGTAGGCCATAACCTGTCTTGATACTTACTTAGGAAGGAAAACCCGGCAATCAAGCTGAACATGCCAAACCAGCCAATCTGTGCCTTGAGCTGAGACGCCAAGATGGCCCCCAGTGGTGCTGTGATTGTCTGTAGTGAAACCAGTTTGTTTGTTCAAAGTGAGTGAGTGACATGTGTTTAACGCCGCTTTTAATAGTATTCCATTTATATCACGGCGTGTCAGCTCAATGTGGGAGGAAATCCCGAAGTCATGAGGTCTTAGACGTTTACCACTTCGGTGAAACCAACGAGCACGGAAGTGCTTCTGACAAACCTAGAAACATAATCGGGGCGAACCGGATTTGAACCCACAATCATAGGTTTCGGGCGTGCCCAAGGGACGCAACTCTGCACAGTTGGGCCATCCGTGCCCCCTGTTTGTTCACAAGAAAAGAGACATTGCACATTGCAACATCATACAGAAGAACGTTATATTACAGTAAGCGGAGCTCAATCATACTCCAGATTCATAAATATACTGATTGGATATTGCTCTCGTGATAATATAAACAATATTCCCTATGCTACACCCAAGGTTCAATACTGTTTTAAGTTTGTAATGATAATTAATTTATTTTTTTTTCGCTATAGTCAGCAATATTCCAGCTGCATTACGACAGCCTGTATATAGTGTGTACCATCGACGACTTTACAAATACTGGCTCATGCTATTCTGAACTGCCTGTATTAGTGCCATTTCCCGTCTTACCTGGGAAGTAAAAATGAGACCAAAGTTGATTGGGTAATACTTCTCCCCGAACGACCTCGCGGCAGCCACAGAAAACAGGGAGTAGTTCCCCGCTAGGGTGCCGAACAGAAGACACACGTATATGAAGTAGAGAGCCTCCCCTCCTAAGGGCGTGACGTTGAATGTGATCATCAGACAGGAGAAGGAGGTACACATACACATCATGGCTGTCTGGGGACAACATAGTGAACGCTATAAAGACACGTCTTATAACATTGATACAACATAACGTGATTATTAATTCGTATTTAATATAAACTTTCAAGACCTGATGTAGTTTTCATGTTGTGTATGATATGGTATTAACATTATTTGCAATGGCAGTCATGTACATGTGTATTAGAAACAGTTTAATTCATACCATCTTTGTTAAGAGTTACGTATCTTGCCTGTGTGTCTATATCAAAGGCAGTTATGTTTTGGAATCATTCGTGACCAACTCGTGTTATTCCGGGACAGGGGCGGTCGGGTAGCCCAGTGGTTAAAGCGTTCGCTCGTCACGCCGAAGACCCGGGTTCGATTCCCGACATGGGTACAATGTGTGAAGCCCATTTCTGGTGTCCCCCGCCGTGATATTGCTGGAATATTGCTAAAAGCGGCGTAAAACCATACTCACTCACTCACTATTCCGGGACAAACCGAATAGCGACTCGTGCCCCTCTCATGGCCATTTGTGCGAACGGGCATACCTAAAACAATTGTCAACTCGTTGCGTAATGGTTCACATACATTTCCCCATTATTACATAAATTTCATATGCAATTTAAAGCACATCTGAATATGTGGAATTGTACCCTCATCAGTATGACTGAACACATTTAACTGAGTTTGGGGTAATGTTTTAGATGCAAGACATATGTAAAATCAAAAATTATTTCTGAGGGATTCTTTGATGAACAACTTGAAATCAAACGCGCATTCTGATTGGTTTGTCGTATTTTCGCACATAATATTCATCGATAGGAGGACGAGTCTTCTTGCAGGTTACGGAAAGGGGCGATTGGTGACGCATGGTTTTGGAATATGTCCAAAAGCGATTCAGAAATGGCGGCCATTTTGAAATGCAGGATGGACCCACAAATGTTCATGGCAACACTGGCAACGTCCCTTTTCTTCGATGAAAGACTTTAATGGCTTTTTACGTCGACCCCAAAATAAAGTTTTCTTACAATAACTCATATAAAAGATGTCAAACAGCTTGACTAGCTTTTTCAAGTATAATGCACAGTGGATGTTTTGACGAAGCACATTCACCTATGCAAATCTGACCTTAAATGAAAACCGGTCTGCGATGAAACCCCAGAACATCCTTCCTGAGAAGTTAAAGGCAGATGCGAAGGCCCCAGACACTGCCAGGAACACGTCATTAGTGATGAATGTCTGCCCGTAATCCTGGAAAATAGACAGCCAGGGTCAGACATAACAGGATAAAATACTTAGGGAATAACCAACAAGCTACGCAGAACTGCTTGTTACCTGCTATTGGATCACTAACGGACCTCCATATTTCCAAGTTTCGAGAAACGTGTATTCAGGCTTGGTACGATGTACTTGTACATTCTTCATGCCTCGTGCTACTCTTGATTGAACTGCATCAGTCGAAGCAATACAACATGAGCATAAGAAAGATAGATGGGCTGATATGCAAATTTACAAGGCCTAATTAGTGTCAGCGTCTTGTGTGCGTTGCAATAATTAAGTCAAAGCCACTGGTCAGAGATGCAAGGTATGTCTTTGAACTCGACTGATTTACCCAGATAAACCAGAAATGAAAGCGAATCTATCTCATCGTGACAAAACCCTTTCCACAAAACTGTGTGAAAAAAAGGATTTCAAGTTTCCAAAAGTTAACTTTTCATTTACGTTCACCAATATTCCAGCAGCTTCACTCCTTGGTGTCAACAGTTCGCAGCTTTTGAGGTACAATCGGGCATTCTCTATAAACGACGATTTCAAATAGCGCCATGCGACTCTTGCTCAAACGTTATTTGAGATGGTCCGAGTGAAGCTTTCAAAACGTTTTATTATTGATGAACATTTCCAAATGTGACGCATCAGTAACAAAAATCGTATCCGATGCAATTCCTATTTTTACTTGTGTAATATGTTCCGGTCTTTATTCAAATGAACAATTGCCTTGCCCTTGCATGTGTTTGTAGGGTGGGATAACACATGGTATCATACTCTATTTGATATTGATTCATGAACACACGCTCACGATACAATCGGGATCGTACCCTGGACACTATAAGTATGGAACCGTGCCGTGTATTTGATAAGGGAACGACAATGTAATATTAAGTTTGAGGCCCTGGGATTTAGTTTTGTTTTGTCAGCGCTTCAAGTCATGCATATGAGAAAGAAAAAGCCAAGCAATTCATTTTGACCACACCACATTTATTCCCAGAACATTTCCAGTGAGCGATAACATTTCTCACGTGAACGGATAAAATATTTTTTCATTTGTTCTTCAAAAATCCCATGCCCACCTTATAGAGTGATGACAGGAAGACCACGCCCTGCCCGTTGAACAGGAAACACAACCACAGAGTGTAGAACGCCCGGGTCTTCAGGACCTGCAGGGGACGCAGACTCTCCACCACACTGGCAATAAACAAGGTTGAATACGTTTGTTTTGTCTGTTTGTTGTTTAAAGCCGCATTCAGCAATATTCTGTAAATAATCACGTCTGGACCAGACAATCCAGTGATCGACACCATGAGCATCGATTTACTCAATTGGGATGCGATGACATGCATCCACCAAGTTAGCGAGCCTGACCAACCGATCACGTTAGCCGCCTGTTATGGCAAGTATGGGTTGCTGAAGACCTTTTCTACCACGGAACTTCACGGGTCCAATGTTAGATTCGACCATTAAGCACATTATCTTAATAGGACAATAAAGCATGTCCGTACGTAGGAATAATATAAAGTCATATATAATGATAACCTGACACATATCTTAATAACTTAATTCAGATGTGCCTACCTTATTGTTTCTTTGGGATTCACAGGCGAGACATTTCTATCATTACTATCACTGTTGACTGTGATGTTGGTCATGACGATGTTGTTGCTGCTGTCCAGCTCAGATTCAGATACATTGTTAACAGATGTCTGCAACACGAATATGAGGAGATAGTTTATGAATGATGATAATAATACAGAAATGAACAATGGGGAAAGAATATCCGTGAATTAGTTGGGCTGAGCACGCGTCCAAAAGTATGTCAGTTATATAACGGCCTTGGTGACTGGTCACCCGTGCCCACTGAAGAATAGACCAGTAGCAAACAGTGTTACATCGTCACATGTGTCGCACTATGGGTATATACATCTGTATTGCTAGCTTCGTGAACCCAGCTGTACAAGTTGGAGGCAGGTGTAAGTTTATTTTGCCCCCTCACTGCGGAGGACACGGGATGCCGGTGGGGGCGTGTGTAACATAGTGAAGAAGACCTTGGTCCGCTTCTTCATATCGCGAAATGTCGTAAAGCCCATTTTCACACTGCTGCGTACAGCGTACAACATAACAATATTTTAACAATTGTCACTTGGCTATATTTATTGCTTCGATGTGTTCAAACAAAGGAGGGGGCGGTCGGGTAGCCTAGTGGTTAAAGCGTTTGCTCGTCACGCCGAAGACCCGGGTTTGATTCCCGACATGGGTACAATGTGATATTGCTGGAATACTGCTAAAAGCGGCGTAAATCCAAAACTCGCTCACTCACTCAAACAAAGGAAGATAAGAGTTTGCTTGAGGATGATAATGATGGTGTACGTGATGACGATAATGATTACTTGTGGTGATTGTGATGGCGATAGTGATGACAATGGTTTAATCGTGACGGTGGAATGGGGGGATATAATGCTTTGATGAGGATTGGGATGGTGTACCCCATGACTTACCGCCTGTGTCGGGGGGTCAGATAGGAGGAGGACGCCCACCAGCTGCATGGCGGCGTATATCCCCCCTGTCAGCACGAACACCCAGGGTACCCTCTGTAGCAGCTCCGGCTGACTGAAGTAGCTGCAGACATGATAAGACACGGTGAACATTGGTCTCCGCAACCAATTCTTGTCGTAAGACGCAACTACGATTGTCGCAAGAGACGACTAACGGGATGGGTGGTCAGACTTGCTCACTTGGTTGATGCGTATCATCCTATCCCAATTGCGAAGATCGATGCTCATGATATAAATCACTTGATTGTATAGTACAGACTCGATTATTTAGCTGAGATGAGCTTCAACAACAAACAAACATGATGAGACACACTAGAACGGGGTTAATGAACCTCCTGCCAAAATGAACTCATCCCAACATGTCTAAATCGATTCATCATCACGTGGTATTGTAACACAGCCTGTCAGCACAGCAGGACTTTTAGCCTTCTCGGGCAAATTACACATGATTTACACCAATATGTCACATATGTCCTCTCAATCCAAACCAGAAAACCTTAAGCTTTCACGGCATCAATCGTTTTGTCCAGTCTAAAATGTTCCATCTAATCACGCCAAATGCTCATGACCCTGTTTGCCTGGTTTCTGGGTATCGTCCATTCACACAGATTTTGAAACCTAAACGCCATCGACAATAGCCAGTGTATTGAGCTCTAATCAAGCTTTTCGCATTCGATGGTTATTTACTAGACATTTGGCCAGCCTGACACCAATCCTGCATGAGTTGCACATTCTTAAGTGAAAAAATGTCTTCCTTAGTGCATCCGCCACAACAGTTTCTTGTGCTGTATTGTTTTGTGCTGTATTGTTTTGTGCTGTATTGTAGTTTTGTGCTGTATTGTTTTGTGCTGTATTGTTTTGTGCTGTATTGTGTTGTGCTGTATTGTGTTGTGCTGTATTTAAGTTACCGACGCTACACGCCTTCTTGCACCAAGCTCTCCTTTTGGCCCTTTCAGTTTCATCAGCTAGGATAGCGGGTTATGGTCACTGATAGCGGAAAACTTGTTCCCTTCTAGGTCCATGGATAATTTGTCAAGTGCCAATACAATTGCTGAATAGTTCCTTTTCCCAGGAGTCAATGCTATTGACACATACACAATAATTCACCCCTTCTGTCCCCAACCTGTAGTTTCTGGCATCTGTTTCTACTACACATTTCTCCTAGAAATCTGGATGGACTAGGACTTGAGCAGTATTCAGTCTCTCCGGTAGTATTGTGAAGGCCGGTTCACTTTGTTCGGTCCATATGAATAGAATATTCTTCTTAGTCAGGTGATTCAGTGGTCTTGCAAAATCGGCAAAATCCTTCACACATCGGCAATTATATGATGCCAGCTCTATTAATCTTCTGACCTCAGTCGCATTCTCCGGCTGAGGAAATTGTTTATTGATATTTGTTTGGGTCTGGCCGTACCTCTGTTTTTGCAAACACACATTTTTGTGCATTCAACTTCAATCACATCAATGTGTCACTAATTCCTGGGATCGAAAAAATGTCTCCAACCGTCTTGTCATTTAATCATGTAAAATCGATACAATATCTTGTGGATGAGTTTTTCTAATCCAAACAATATTACTTGCCCAAGGACTGTTGCGTGGCCTGATGAGATCTTTGTCTAGATTTTCGTGAACAAACTGTTCAATACCCAAACAGGCTGTCATGAGGTACCCGACCTGGTCTCTGAGCCACTGGCGTAGCGTCTGCAGTGGGGATTGAATGTTCAATTACATCAGTTCGTCTATAGTTCACTATGGACTGAGAATACATTTGACCTCTTCCTAATTATATACATGTTGTATATCTGCCGATATATCTGATTTGTTAGACAACAATTGACATTTTATCAACTGTATCTGCCATTTCATGTGATATCTAGGCTGCTCTACCAGGAATGCTTGCTATCACAGCACAATCTACAACATTGTTGGAAATGTTCTTATTACAGTTCCAGCAGTAACGTAAGTTGTTATGAGGATTTGTCATGTGTAACAGTTACATCGCTTTGCCTCTCGTTTGAGAACTTAAAATATATTTCCAGATTTGATTGTTTTATGTTCAAATTTCCCACATTTGTAACACTGACCTTTGAAATTCCTGAAACAATCCCCAGCAAAGTGACCCTACCAGCAACGGGAATAACAGTTTTGGACTCTTTCCTGCTGTTGTAAGAGTTCATTATTGCCAAAACTGTTTCCGACAATGGTTGCTGAGCCAGTGTGAGTTCCTTCAAGTTAGCAACACTATCCTTCCTTTCTATCATATATATCCATTATCTTGTCCAGATACCATCCCAACAGCCTGAGAATATGTTTCCCAAAATATTTGATTTGCTCTTTTGACTACTTTATCTAAAACAGCTTCTTCCCTTACTTACGATGCTAGTTTGTTTGTGACATTCCCATTTAATGCCTTCCGAGCCTGGGCTAGTAGGACTGACGCTTGGTGCTTTGTTTCTTAATGTCACGATGTTTCTTCTGCAAATCGTAATGCGAATAGGGTCTCACCGTGTCTCTGCATTCTATTTGCTGAATCCAATCGAAATTTGTGCACAGATTGTTCCTCCCCAAACCTTCTTATCACTGTTTGACGTCATCTTTCCTTCGTGGATTTCCTCCACGAGGATCGGGTAGACTGTAAAAGACTTCCCCAGCGTAGCAAATTTCCTGTTTTCCGTTTTCTCTTTGACGATGCAAAATGCCTCTAACTGCTTCAAATGACTTCTTATTCCGCTATTATCTCCACTGTCCCATTGTTTCGTCCTGTTCTTAACCGCTGGCACCAGTGAAAGATAGTAACACAGCTCGTACCGCACGACTTGTCTATACAAGGTGAGATGAAGTGGAATGGGGTTTAGCTTCGACCTCCGTTACATCCCCACAACCTTAATAGATGTCCTAGCACCATCTTCCAAACATTCGATCACGTACCATTACTTTCCAGTTAATTAGCAACACTAGAATCTCCCCAAACGCACTAACTGTGTTTATGCAGAGTTATCACCTTTTGACCGTAAGCGCATTTCGCTGAACGTATAATTACTCCAATGCCTTCTTTCAGTTAAACATTTTTGTAATCAATGAGGACTGTATCGACACGAGTAGATAATACATTCACACCTTTTAAAAACAATATGTTTCTGTCCTAGTCTTGAGGCTATTTTATTATCCAAAACTGGCCTCCACAGAAGATATTGCTCGGGTGAGATCAATCTGCCTCCAAAGAGATATCGCTGCATTGGATTTACATCACAATACGGACCATTGTGATGTCATCGTACCATGACGTCACTATCAAATGACATCACTAATCTGTATTTTTTTAAGCCAAGACGCTGATACTTCACAAAAAGTAAAAAAGTGGGAAGAATGATGTTGGATGTCAAATAGAATCTTACGGTCGGCATGGCTCGTATTGATATATTTAATATAAACAGGCACGAAGGGGAAATTATCCATATGTTTTATATTTTGTCACATAAATGCTAACAATATCTATAGGTGGCTGTACAACTCACTGTTCTCCATTGACCTTCAAATCCGGTGACAGATTGTCTGGGTTGATGAAGGCCGTTTGGACCAGGTTAAAGATGAACGCTCCTCCCCCGAACCCCGCCACCACTAGACCACCTGCCAGACCCTTCCGTTCTGGCAGCCACTGGCAATCATACAGTTACACACTATTAGTGAGTGAGTGTTTTAACTATAACATGGAGAGTTTGATTCTTAAAGGTTTACAACAATGATGACACCCATGAGCATGGGGCAGACAAACCTAGAAACATTTAGGCCAAATTTGTCATCGAAAGATCATAGGTTTTAACACGATTTTGGGACGCAGCTCTTGTCAAAATGGCACAAGTGTCCTCCACACAATAATATTGTGTGACCATTTTGTCACAGTTAACAGGGTGATTTTTATAATCCCAAGTTCAATCTTTCAGTAATTAATAAACATCGATTTCACCTTCATGGCGCATCCCATGGGTAGTGGGTAGGCGACCCCGCACCCAAGTCCGTTCATGACGCCGTACGTAAAGATGACGCCTATGTAGGAATGCCGCACCGTAATGAACGTCAGCATGACGCCAGCACTGAAACCAAACATTGAAAGACAGAGAGAGTAGTGTAAACCTTTGTATGTCAGGTGGTACCTTAACGACAGAGAGAGAAGTGTAACGCGTTGTTTGACAGGTGGTAGCTTAACGACAGAGAGAGAAGTGTAAAGTTTTGTGTGTCAGGTGGTAGCTTAACGACAGAGAGAGAAGTGTAAACCTTTCTGTGTCAGGTGGTAGCTTCACGACAGAGAGAGAAGTGTAAAGCTTTGTGTGTCAGGTGGTACCTTAACGACAGAGAGAGAAGTGTAAAGCTTTGTGTGTCAGGTGGTAGCTTCACGACAGAGAGAGAAGTGTAAACCTTTGTGTGTCAGGTGGTACCTTAACGACAGAGAGAGAAGTGTAACGCGTTGTTTGACAGGTGGTAGCTTAACGACAGAGAGAGAAGTGTAAAGTTTTGTGTGTCAGGTGGCAGCTTAACGACAGAGAGAGAAGTGTAAACCTTTCTGTGTCAGGTGGTAGCTTCACGACAGAGAGAGAAGTGTAAAGCTTTGTGTGTCAGGTGGTAGCTTAACGACAGAGAGAGAAGTGTAAACCTTTGTGTGTCAGGAGGTAGCTTAACGACAGAGAGAGAAGTGTAACGCGTTGTTTGACAGGTGGTAGCTTAACGACAGAGAGAGAAGTGTAACGCATTGTTTGTCAGGTGGTAGCTTAACGACAGAGAGAGAAGTGTAAACCTTTGTGTGTCAGGTGTTAGCTTAACGACAGAGAGAGAAGTGTAACGCGTTGTTTGACAGGTGGTAGCTTAACGACAGAGAGAGAAGTGTAAAGCTTTGTCTGTCAGGTGGTAGCTTAACGACAGAGAGAGAAGTGTAACGCGTTGTGTGTCAGGTGGTAGCTTAACGACAGAGAGAGAAGTGTAACGCGTTGTGTGTCAGGTGGTACCTTAACGACAGAGAGAGAAGTGTAAAGCTTTGTCTGTCAGGTGGTAGCTTAATGACAGAGAGAGAAGTGTAACGCGTTGTGTGTCAGGTGGTAGCTTAACGACAGAGAGAGAAGTGTAACGCGTTGTGTGTCAGGTGGTAGCTTAACGACAGTGATAGTAGTGTAAACCTTTGTGTGTCAGGTGGTAGCTTAACGACAGAGAGAGAAGTGTAAAGCTTTGTGTGTCAGGTGGTACCTTAACGACAGAGAGAGAAGTGTAAAGCTTTGTCTGTCAGGTGGTAGCTTAACGACAGAGAGAGAAGTGTAACGCGCTGTGTGTCAGGTTGTAGCTTAACGACAGAGATAGTAGTGTAAACCTTTGTGTGTCAGGTGGTACCTTAACGACAGAGAGAGAAGTGTAACGCGTTGTGTGTCAGGTGTTAGCTTAACGACAGAGATAGTAGTGTAAACCTTTGTGTGTCAGGTGGTAGCTTGACGACAGAGAGAGAAGTGTAAAGCTTTGTGTGTCAGGTGGTAGCTTAACGACAGAGAGAGAAGTGTAAAGCTTTGTGTGTCAGGAGGTAGCTTAACGACAGAGGGAGTAGTGTAAACCTTTGTGTGTCAGGTGGTACCTTAACGACAGAGAGAGAAGTGTAACGCGTTGTGTGTCAGGTGTTAGCTTAACGACAGAGATAGTAGTGTAAACCTTTGTGTGTCAGGTGGTAGCTTAACGACAGAGAGAGAAGTGTAAAGCTTTGTGTGTCAGGTGGTAGCTTCACGACAGAGAGAGAAGTGCAAAGCTTTGTGTGTCAGGTGGTAGCTTAACGACAGAGGGAGTAGTGTAAACCTTTGTGTGTCAGGTGGTAGCTTAACGACAGAGGGAGTAGTGTAAGCCTTTGTGTGTCAGGTGGTAGCTTAACGACAGAGAGAGAAGTGTAAAGCTTTGTGTGTCAGGTGGTAGCTTAACGACAGAGAGAGAAGTGCAAAGCTTTGTGTGTCAGGTGGTAGCTCAACGACAGAGAGAGAAGTGTAAAGCTTTGTGTGTCAGGTGGTAGCTTAACGACACAGGGAGTAGTGTAAACCTTTGTCTGTCAGGTGGTAGCGTAACGACAGAGAGAGAAGTGTAAAGCTTTGTGTGTCTGGTGGTAGATTAACGACAGAGGGAGTAGTGTAAACCTTTGTGTGTCAGGTGGTAGCTTAACGACAGAGGTAGTGTAAAACTTTGTGTGTCAGGTGGTAGCTTAACGACAGAGGGAGTTGTGTAAACCTTTTTGTGTCAGGTGGTAGCTTAACGACAGAGGGAGTAGTGTAAACCTTTGTGTGTCAGGTGTTAGGTTAACGACAGAGATAGTGTAAACCTTTTGTGTGTCAGGTGTTAGCTTAACGACAGAGAGAGAAGTGTAAAGCTTTGTGTGTCAGGTGGTAGCTTAATGACAGAGGGAGTAGTGTAAACCTTTGTGTGTCAGGTGGTAGCTTAACGACAGAGATAGTGTAAACCTTTGTGTGTCAGGTGGTAGCTTAACGACAGAGAGAGAAGTGTAAAGCTGTGTGTGTCTGGTGGTAGCTTAACGACAGAGAGAGAAGTGTAAACCTTTGTGTGTCAGGTGGTAGCTTAACGACAGAGGGAGTAGTGTAAACCTTTGAGTGTCAGGTGTTAGCTTAACGACAGAGATAGTGTAAATCTTTGTGTGTCAGGTGGTAGCTTAACGACAGAGATAGTGTAAACTTTTGTGTGTCAGGTGGTAGCTTAACGACAGAGATAGTGTAAACCTTTGTGTGTCAGGTGGTAGCTTAACGACAGAGGGAGTAGTGTAAACCTTTGTGTGTCAGGTGGTAGCTTGACGACAGAGAGAGAAGTGTAAAGCTTTGTGTGTCAGGTGGTAGCTTAACGACAGAGGGAGTAGTGTAAACCTTTGTGTGTCAGGTGGTAGCTTAACGACAGAGGGAGTAGTGTAAACCTTTGTGTGTAAGGTGTTAGCTTAACGACAGAGATAGTGTAAACCTTTGTGTGTCAGGTGGTAGCTTAACGACAGAGGGAGTAGTGTAAACCGTTGTGTGTCAGGTGGTAGCTTAACGACAGAGATAGTGTAAACCTTTGTGTGTCAGGTGTTAGCTTAACGACAGAGAGAGAAGTGTAAACCTTTGTCTGTCAGGTGGTAGCTTAACGACAGAGATAGTAGTAGATAGCAATAAACATGACCGTCCGAAAACGTATGACGTCCGAAGACCTATGATCCGACGACACTTTGATAACATTGAAACATTGCGTGGCATGATGACAAGCAGTGAAACAAGTGACAGTGTGACTTGACCATTCATATGTTGATCAGATGTTTAAACAGTCTACCTCATCAACCAGGAGCCCTGTGGAGAGTGCAGTGGATGTGGATGTTTTTCAGTTGTTTAAATAGTCTACCTCATCACGTGAACCAGGAGCCCTGTGGAGAGTGCAGTGGGTGTGGATGAATTTTTGGTTTAAATAGTCTACCTCATCACGTGAACCAGGAGCCCTGTGGAGAGTGCAGTGGGTGTGGATGTATCTGTTGTTTAAATAGTCTACCTCATCACGTGAACCAGGAGCCCTGTGGAGAGTGCAGTGGGTGTGGATGTATCTGTTGTTTAAATAGTCTACCTCATCACGTGAACCAGGAACCCTGTGGAGAGCGCAGTGTGTGTGTGGATGTATCTGTTGTTTAAATAGTCTACCTCATGACCCAGGAGCCCTGTGGAGAGCGCAGTGTGTGTGTGGATGTATCTGTTGTTTAAATAGTCTACCTCATGAACCAGGAGCCCTGTGGAAAGCGCAGTGTGTGGATGTATCTGTTGTTTAAATAGTCTACCTCATGACCAAGGAGCCCTGTGGAGACTGCAGTGTGTGTGGATGTATCTGTTGTTTAAATAGTCTACCTCATCACGTGGACCAGGAGCCCTGTGGAGAGCGCAGTGTGTGTGGATGGGTCTGTTGTTTAAATAGTCTACCTCATGAACCAGGAGCCCTGTTGAGAGTGCAAGTGGGTGTGGATGTATCTGTTTTTTAAATAGCCTACCTCATGAACCAGGAGCCGTTATAAGAGTGCAGAGTGTGTGGAGGTACTGTTGTTTAAGTAGTCTACCTCATGAACCAGACGCCGTTATAAGAGTGCAGTGTGTGTGGAGGTACTGTTGTTTAAGTAGTCTACCTCATGAACCAGGATCCAAGTAGCACGGTGAGTTTTAAGCCCAGGGTCCGGCTGATGATCCCCCCAAGAAAGATGGCTGCTCCTTGCCCCATGAGGCAACATGCGTAGATCCACATACTGTCGCCATAGTCAATGTCAAGGCTGGATGTGTTGTTACGTAAGTATGACGTCAAGTACGGTGTCAAGTTACCTGTAAAATCAGAACAACGCAGTCGCCGAACGATCGCATCCAAAAGGGGGCGTTATATGACGATCGGTATTAGAAGAAAAAGGTGCAGATAATCGACGTGGGGATTATGCCAAACTTACTTACGTATGAAAATTAAGGTAACTATTTTCAAAGCTTGTACATTTTATCGACTTTCTTTTTGAGGCTGAACATGATGTTAATATATCATATAATAGATGCGCCACTCATGGCTTACTCTCCCTTCAGTATTTTATTGTACGATAAACAACGACCACGAGTCTTTTAGTCTTAAATACTAGTTTTTCAGTTGAAAAATTGAGATACAATTTAATAGCGTTTTCACTTTTAAATTTGACTTAGAATTATATCCAGATAATTTGACTCAACGTACTTTTGGAAATCGATTATTTGACCTATTGTGCTAGCTTCCATCTCAGGACTTTGTGATTTGCGTAAACTGCATTTATGCATATGTTAGTCTGTGTGTAACATGACTGAAAATAAACTTTTTCCATTTATTATATGAGGAGAGAAATGAAAACCAACAATTGTGAAAATGTGTCATATCAATAGTGAAGCTCTTCAATTCCAGTCCGGGAGAAGTTTTCTGAAGTCAACCTGAAAAACCCATTCACGACAGCTTTGTGGTCATCGTTGTCGTCATAGCGCTTACTACGAAGGTAGTCTTTCAGCTCAGGAAACAGGTGGAAATCACTTGTTGCCAGGTCTGGCGAGTATGGAGGGTGAGGAAGCTCTTCGAACCCACATTGTCGCACAGCAGCCTTCGAGAGGTCTCAGAGTGAGTGAGAATGGTTTTACGCAACTTTTAGAAATAAGCCAGCAATATCACGGTGGTGGACACCAGAAATGGGCTTCACACATTGTACCCATGTCGGGAATCGAACCCGGGTCTTTGGCGTGACGTTCGAACGCTTTAACTACTAGGCTACCCGACCGCCCCTAGAGTGGTGTGAGAAAAGGCATTGCTATGAAGTAGCAACAGTCAGCATTCCTGGCAGCTTTTCTTTGATAGAATTATCAGGCGATGAAGCAAGTCAGCATAGTAGGCACAGGTAATCGTCTTTCGTCTTTCTAAGCAGTCAACAAAGATCACACCCTTTGCATCCCAGAATACAGTGGTTATAACTTTCTTCGCTGATCTTGAAAATTTGAATTTCTTTGGTGCCATAGAAGTCGAATGGTGCCATTCCACGGACTGAGGTTGTTATTACCAGTCACTAATCTCTTTTTAAATCCTCTTCAATTAGCTTTAACTATTCTCTGGCAATGTCAGATCTTTTTTCCTTCAGCTCAGAATTTAGAAACTTTGGCACCCAGCGAGCAGATATCTTATTCATCTATAAAGGTTCATGAATAGAAGTTTTAGTGAATCCATGGCTCAGACCTGTGTCAGCAATGTTAATACGTCTATCTGACAGTATACAGTATTCTATCTTGGTTGAATCTTCACTGATGGAAGTCGGGGGACGTCCACACCTAGGGTCATCATCAAGACTTGTTCTCCCAGCCTTAAACATAGCTGCCCAAACTTGAACAGCGGAATAGCTAGGACACTTATCCCTATACACCTGTAACATGGGGTCATTATTTTCATGCGGAATACTTTCTCTGAAGTAAAAAACTTGATGACTGCCCGGTACTCGTTCTTTTCCATGTCTGTGTCCATGTGGACGCCTATCACTTCCAACTGTCTGTCACTTATATACAAATGGCCTCAACAGACCAAATACACTTGCAATGAACAACTCAAACAATGTACTACATAGAAAAGTTTACTAATAGTTTACCTTAGCTGAAAGTTAGTCAGCCTTAGAACATTTTGACCAGCCCTCGTATTGTGGGAACGAATTTCAAACATTGTTATGTTTTATTTCATCACCCAAATGACTGAAAATGATAAAAAGGAAATTTAATGTATTGTTTTTATTTCGTTGTGCTTATAATCCTCGCATGTGATGTTTTTAAGCCTCTTTGAACTTCTTCGCTTTGACGGAAAAATAAATGTAATACTATTTTGTCGTTTTGTAAATTGCCTTAGTGATAATTTTAGTCATTTTACACATTGACTATAACATATCTATACTATATTACTCGCAAGAGATGTTCCTTGCACATATGATATAGGGCAATCTAGAAATGTATGTTATGCATGATGTGGACCAGCTGGAATTGTCTGTCTTCTGAACTAAGACACGAGGTACCAAGTTACCCCTGACATTTGATATAACATACAGTGTATGTGACCGTAACGTAATTTATGCAGAGCTGCATTCAAGAGAAAACCAAAAACGATACTCTCTTGTACGATCACCTTAGGTACACAGACTTTGGTTACTAACAATTGAAAGGCCGGAACACTTCTATGATTGAGCATATTTATTATGTCTTAGCACCTACAGTATACAATCTGATGAATGTTTATGCGGCACATTTGCTTTTGTTATTCTTGTTGAGTCTATTATTGATTTACTAGATGTGACAACTTTTTCTACCATCTGGAACGATGATGGCGATACCTTTGTGTCCTTTTTACTTGGTGGCTTGCCAACAGAAAGTACTATGGCTATTGAATACAACATGTGGACAAGTATTATGCTCCTTGTATGTAAAACTGTTAACATGGGACACACAACAACAATAAACATCCTATTCTAATGAGGTGAAACTGCCTGTACATACAATATATCACCCGTTGTTTACATACACTCTTCAAAACAAGAGGCCCATAGGGCCTGTCTCGCTCACCTGGATATTTACGCAATCATGATAAGATATACATTTGCATTGTACATGTATATAAAACTGCAACTATTTCGTAATTTTAATCCTGTCAGCATTTAAAATGGGTGGATTTTAGGACTGCCGGACAGATGAACAGAAGGGGCAAGTCCTGGTAGCATATGTGCATTCCTCTCATTATACTCCAATTGTACATATGGTTATACGGTGGGGATCTTACTGTGTCCAAGTTATAAGCTCTTTAAGCCCCGCCCCTTAGTCCCCGGGGGTGGGGGTAGCATTTAGCCCCTTCATTTTTCCAGTTTGAATCCCAACCATTGGAGAATGCTTCCAACCAAATATGGTTGATAACTATCTCTTAGTTCCGGAGAAGAAGTCGTTTAAAACAAAAACGCCAAATTACCCCTATTTGGCCCCGCCCCTCAGCCCCTTTGGGCGGTCAGCTCCACCATTTGTACAGTTATGAATCCTCTCTACCAGAGAATGCTTCCAACCAAATATGGTTGATATCTACCTCTTAGTTCTAGAGAAGAAGTCGTTTAAAGCAATATAGCTAAATTACCCCTATTTGGCCCCGCCGATCAGCCCCTTCGGGATCAGCACCACCATTTGTACAATTTTGAATCCCCACCACCTAGGGATCCTTCCAACCAAACATGGTTAATATCTATCTCCTAGTTCCAGAGAAGTAGTCGTTTGGAGCAATATAGCCGAATTACCCCTATTTGGCCCTGCCCCTAAGCCCCTCTATTTTTACAATTTTGAATCCCCACCACATAGGGATGCTTCCACTCAAATATGGTTAATATCTACCTCTTAGTTCCAGAGGAGAAGTCGTTTGAAGCAATAAAGCCAAATTATCCCCCTATTTGGCCCTGCCCCTCAGCCCCTCTATTTGTATAATTGTTAAATCCTCACCACCGCAGAATGCTTCCACTCAAATATGGTTGATATCTATCTCTCAGTTCCAGAGAAGAAGTCGTTTGATGCAATATAGCCAAATTACCCCGATTTGGCTCCGCCCCTCAACCCTCAATTTGTACAATTTTTAATCCCCACCCTTGTCCAAAATTCACTTTCCAATATATGTTCGCAGAAAACGTTTATTGAATAGAATTTACTGATCAACATAAAATAGACATTTACAACACAACAATCTTTGAATTTTGCATTCAATAAACCGATTTTAAAATAATATTTGATATTGGAAATTTTAATATTTAAGTGTACATCTACCCGTTTTAAATTAAGAAAAATATGGAAACTTGACACCATTCAGAAAATAAAATCGTTGTAAAGTATAGGGTCAACAGACAAATGCTAGTAAATGATCCTGTATATTGCTGTCAGACAAGCCAAACATTATCGAACTACGTTCTGGAATAGATTTGACAAATTACAAAATATTACGCTCCTCAGTCAGATATAAATGAAACCAGACAAATCAGTTTACCATCTCTACTTAATTTACAACGATAGAAAAGGACTACATTACAGTATAATTACTAACGTTAACCTGTGTCGTGTTCCATGAGACAACATAACTTGACAATTCCTAAATTATCTCCCTTTGCGAACGAAAATTAGTGTCACTTTTCAATTTTGAAAAGAATTATGGATCTAAATAGACCCAGTATATACCGCGTAACATCCGACTTGAACACGTATTTTATATGCTGAACGCCTGCTGTTCGATCAAGGTCATTTAGAATAACGTCCGTTACTTTCGTCCTTGACTTTGTACGCAATGTGTTTACGTAAAGTTCTGCGAGCTCACGAGAGGACCATTTTTAGGGGAAATAGTGAAGTATCTTTTTGAACATTATTTCAATTCTAATAGCTATAGTGTGGTAACACTACCCTTATTGATTATAACATTTATTGGGTTTGAAAAATGTCTTTGCATAGCACACGAGTGCTATTTGTGTCCAGGTAGTTATGGCATCTTTTAAGAGCAAAACGTCAACATTTAGGAAATATGTAGGATTGTACGGAGTTTCACTCAGATAGTTGCGTCTATACAGTGTGAACTGACAATGTGATCGTGAAATCCGTGCCACTTCTCCATGCTGTTGTTATCGTCAGCGACTGGGAAACCCCCGTGACGTCACTGTGAAAAAACACCAACAATCTCCAACACAATGAGTTCTCTGTCAGACCAACGACAGGTATCGACAGGTTCACGATAGTTTCGAAAATGTATCTAATCTAAACCTTAAGATATCTTAGCCTTGAACGTAAGTTGTTAAGATTTATCTTAGCTAAGATCGTTTCGAAAATCTAGGCCCTGCTTATTACTGTCTACAAACTGAAAAGTTGGAAGAATGATGTTTTTCCACTTTTATCAACGCGTGTTGTTATATTTGGTATAAAAAGACACTTGGGTGAGATTCTCTAAATAACCTACGGGTATGTACGTGGGTAATCATGACGAGCCGGTTAGACCGGTTAGACTACACTGGTCCTTGCATAACTCCAGTGCGCAGCTGGTCTTCGCTGCTCTATTACACTTGTAATATTTGTGTTAGAAGTGGGTCAGATACCTATTTGTTTTCTACCTCAAACAATAAGCGTTTTCAGAAGCTTATCAACAGAGTAGAGTGTACATATTACTGAAAGCTGGATCTTCTACGCTAGGAGTGATGTACAGTTATATCTACACCGTTTACCCACATATCAGGACATCAGATGAATAGTAGCATATCGTGGACAAAGAATGACTGATAATACATCACCTTGTACACCATGGGACCGGTGTAATCAGTATAGAAACACGAGCTGTGCAACTCACCAAAGGAAAACACGGTGCCCAAAGTAAGGTGGACCATCAAACCTCCCCATACCACAAGGTAGGCCCTCCATTGCCCGCACGCCATGTCTCCTGCAGGTTAGAAAGATAATGGACGACGGGTAATACGTGCATAACAGGACAGGGTCTTGTCAATGGGAGCTTTGCACAGCACCCTACGACAGTGATTGTGTAGCGCCCGGTTACAACACACACTGGTGACAAAAGACTGTCAAAAGACTGTCAGAGTGTGTTGGCTGAAGGTGGCGAACATGTTCCTCATTAATACATAAGTACAGTGTGCATCGTGAACTTCAAAGGGCATCTTTATACAAGATAGGCGCTCCAATCGTCATCGCGCCCTCCATCAACCCCTCTCACGCCCTCCAACCACCTCTCACGTCTTCAAACCATCCCTCACACGTCTGAAAACCATCACTCTCACGTCTTAAAAACGTGAATCTCACGTCCTCCAACCACCCTTCTCATGCCCTCTATCCACCCCGCTCACGTCTTCAAACCATCCCTCACGCGTCTTCAAACCATCCCTTTCACGTCTTCAAACTATCACTCTCATGTCTTCCAACCATCACTCCCATGTCTTCAAACGATAAGATTCACGTCTTCAAACCATATCTCTTACGTCTTCAAACCATCAATCTCGCGGCTTCAAAAGATCACTCTTACGTCTTCAAACCATCCCTCACACGTCTTCAAACCATCCCTTCCACGTCTTCAAACTATCACTCTCATGTCTTCCAACCATCACTCTCATGTCTTCAAACGATAAGACTCACGTCTTCAAACCATATCTCTTACGTCTTCAAACCATCAATCTCGCGGCTTCAAACGATCACTCTCACGTCTTCAAACGATCACTCTCACGTCTTCAAACCACCACTCACGTCTTCACACCACCACTCTCACGTCTTCAAACCATATCTCTTCCGTCTTCAAACCATCACTCTCGCTTTTCTCAACCATCTCTCTCACGTCTTCAAACCATACTTCTCACGTCTTCAAACATTCACTCTCACGTCTTCAAACCATCACTCTCACGTCTTCAAAACATCCCTCTTTAGTTTTCAAACCATCACTCTTGCTTCTTTCAACCACCCCTCTCACGTCTTCAAACCATACCTCTCACGTCTTCAAACCATACCTTACGTCTTCAAACCACCACCCTCACGTCTTCAAACCACCACTCTCACGTCTTCAAACCATCGCTCTCACGCCTCAAACCATCCCTCTCACGTCTTCAAACATCTCTCTCAGCCGTCAAACAATCGCTTTCACGTCTTTAAAGCACCCAACTCACGTCTTCCACCATCCCTCTTATTCTAAAGTCTTCAAACCATCTCTCACACGTCTTCAAACCATCACACCCACGTCTTCAAACGATAACTCCCACGTCAACAAACCACCAACCTTATGTCGTCAAACCATACCTCTCACGTCTTCAAACCATCTCACACACGTCTTTAAACCATCCCTCTCACGTCTTCAAACCCTCCCTCTCACGTCTCCAAACCATCCCTCTCACGTCTTCAAACCATCCCTCTCACGTCTTCAAACCATGCCTCTCACATCTTCAAACCATCCCTCTCACGTCTTCAAACCATCCCTCTCACGTCTCAAACCATCCCTCTCACGTCTTCAAACCATCCCTCTCACATCTTCAAACCATCCCTCTCACGTCTTCAAACCATCCCTCTAACGTCTTCAAACCACCAGTCTCACGTCTTCAAACCATCGCTCTCACACCTCAAACCATCCCTCTCACGTCTTCAAACATCCCTCTCTTAGCCGTCAAACAATTGCTTTCACGTCTTTAAAACACCCAACTCACGTCTTCCACCATCCCTCTTATTCTCACGTCTTCAAACCATCTCTCACACGTCTTCAAACCATCAACCTCACGTCTTCAAAACGATAACTCCCACGTCATCAAACCACCAGCCTTACGTCTTCAAACCATACCTCTCACGTCTTCAAACCATCACTCTCACGTCTTCAAAACATCATTCTCACGTCTTCAGGCAATCCCTCTCACGTCTTCAAACCATCCCTCTCACGTCTTCAAACCATCCCTCTCACGTCTTCAAACCATCCCTCTCACGTCTTCAAACCATCCCTCTCACGTATTCAAACCACCAGTCTCACGTATTCAAACCATCCCTCTCACGCCTCCAACCATCCCTCTCACGTCTTCAAACATCTCTCTCAGCCGTCAAACAATCGCTTTCACGTCTTTTAAGCACCCAACTCACGTCTTCCACTATCCCTCTTATTCTCACGTCTTAAAACCATCTCTCTCACGTCTTCAAACCATCACCCTCATGTCTTCAAACGATAACTCCTACGTCATCAAACCATCTCACACACGTCTTCAAACCATACCTCTCACGTCTTCAAACCATTACTCTCACGTCTTCAAACCATCATTTTCACGTCTTCAGACAATCCCTCTCACATCTTCAAACCATCCCTCTCACGTCTTCAAACCATCCCTCTCACGTCTTCAAACCATCCCTCTCACGTCTTCAAACCATCCCTCTCACGTCTTCAAACCATCCCTCTCACGTCTTCAAACCATCCCTCTCACGTCTTTAAACCATGCCTCTCACGTCTTCAAACCATCCCTCTCACGTCTTCAAACCAACCCTCTCACGTCTTCAAACCATCCCTCTCACGTCTTCAAACCATCCCTCTCACGTCTTCAAACCACCAGTCTCACGTCTTCAAACCATCGCTCTCACACCTTAAACCATCCCTCTCACGTCTTCAAACATCTCTCTCTTAGTCGTCAAACAATCGCTTCACGTCTTTAAAGCACCCAACTCACGTCTTCCACCATCCCTCTTATTCTCACGTCTTCAAACCATCTCTCACACGTCTTCAAACCATCACCCTCACGTCTTCAAAACGATAACTCACACGTCATGAAACCACCAGCCTTACGTCTTCAAACCATCCCTCTCACGTCTTCAAACCATCCCTCTCACGTCTTCAAACCATCCCTCTCACGTCTTCAAACCATCCCTCTCACGTCTTCAAACCATCCCTATCACGTCTTCAAACCGCCAGTCTCACGTCTTCAAACCATCGCTCTCATACCTCAAACCATCCCTCTCACATCTTCAAACATCTCTCTCAGCCGTCAAACAATCGCTTTCACGTCTTTAAAGAACCCAACTCACGTCTTCCACCATCCCTCTTATTCTAAAGTCTTCAAACCATCTCTCACACGTCTTCAAACCATCACACCCACGTCTTCAAACGATAACTCCCACGTCATCCAACCACCAACCCCCGTTGTCAAACCATACCTCTCACGTCTTCAAACCATCCCTCACACGTCTTCAAACCATATCTCTTACGTCTTCTAACCATCACTCTCACGTCTTCAAATGATCAAACTCACGTCTTTAAACCATCACTCTCACATATTCAAACCATCCCTCTCACGTCTTCAAACCATCCCTCTCACGTCTTCAAACCATCCCTCTCACGTCTTCAAACCATGCTTCTCACATCTTCAAACCATCCCTCTCACGTCTTCAAACCAACCCTCTGACGTCTTCAAACCACCCTTCTCACGTCTTCAAACCATCCCTCTCACGTCTTCAAACCACCAGTCTCACGTCTTCAAACCATCGCTCTCACACCTCCAACCATCCCTCTCACGTCTTCAAACATCTCTCTCTTAGTCGTCAAACAATCGCTTCACGTCTTTAAAGCACCCAACTCACGTCTTCCACCATCCCTCTTATTCTCACGTCTTCAAACCATCTCTCACACGTCTTCAAACAATCACCCTCACGTCTTCAAAACGATAACTCCCAAAGTCATCAAACCACCAGCTTTACGTCTTCAAACCATACCTCTCACGTCTTCAAACCATCCCTCTCACGTCTTCAAACCATCCCTCTCACGTCTTCAAACCATCCCTCTCACGTCTTCAAACCATCCCTCTCACGTCTTCAAACCATCCCTCTCACGTCTTCAAACCACCAGTCTCACGTCTTCAAACCATCGCTCTCATACCTCAAACCATCCCTCTCACGTCTTCAAACATCTCTCTCAGCCGTCAAACAATCGCTTTCACGTCTTTAAAGAACCCAACTCACGTCTTCCACCATCCCTCTTATTCTAAAGTCTTCAAACCATCTCTCACACGTCTTCAAACCATCACACGCACGTCTTCAAACGATAACTCCCACGTCATCCAACCACCAACCCCCGTTGTCAAACCATACCTCTCACGTCTTCAAACCATCCCTCACACGTCTTCAAACCATATCTCTTACGTCTTCAAACCATCACTCTCACGTCTTCAAATGATCAAACTCACGTCTTTAAACCATCACTCTCACATATTCAAACCATCCCTCTCACGTCTTCAAACCATCCCTCTCACGTCTTCAAACCATCCCTCTCACGTCTTCAAACCAACCCTCTGACGTCTTCAAACCATCCTTCTCACGTCTTCAAACCATCCCTCTCACGTCTTCAAACCATCATTCTCACGTCTTCAAACCATCCCTCTCACGTCTTAAAACCATCCCTCTCACGTCTTCAAACCATCCCTCTCACGTCTTCAAACCGTCCCTCTCACGTCTTCAAACCATCCCTCTCACGTCTTTAAACCATGCCTCTCACATCTTCAAACCATTCCTCTCACGTCTTCAAACCATCCCTCTCACGTCTTCAAACCATCCCTCTCACGTCTTCAAACCATCCCTCTCACGTCTTCAAACCATCGCTCTCACACCTTAAACCATCCCTCTCACGTCTTCAAACATCTCTCTCAGCCGTCAAACAATCGCTTTCACGTCTTTAAAGCACCCAATTCACGTCTTCCACCATCCCTCTTATTCTAAAGTCTTCAAACCATCTCTCACACGTCTTCAAACCATCACACCCACGTCTTCAAACGATAACTCCCACGCCATCAAACCACCAACCTTATGTCGTCAAACCATACCTCTCACGTCTTCAAACCATCTCACACACGTCTTCAAACCATATCTCTTACGTCTTCAAACCATCACTCTCACGTCTTCAAATGATCAAACTCACGTCATTAAACCATCACTCTAACGTCTTCAAACCATCCCTCTCACGTCTTCAAACCATCCCTCTCACATCTTCAAACCATCCCTCTCACGTCTTCAAACCATGCCTCTCACATCTTCAAACCATCCCTCTCACGTCTTCAAACCATCCTTCTCACGTCTTCAAACC